ATATTGTTAGGAAGTAATGACAAGAAGTCATACATGTTCAGCACAGATGCGGTTTTTTAAAAGATATTTTTGATCCTCAGTTGATTGACTCTGGATGTAGAACCAATGGATACAGTGAGCCGGCCGGCTGTGTCTGTACTGGTATGGGGAGGTTGGAGAAGGGGGACTACTGCTAAAACTAACCATTAACTCTGAGAGAGAAAGTCCCCACTGCTGAGCTAGTTTAAGGCCTGACTTCACCACTTCCCATTGCGGGATCTTGGGGTTTAATCCCCTCATCCTCAGAGTCTTCCTCTGCTGAAGGAAAATAATACCCATCTTGTGAATGTGGAGATAAGATTCCAGCAGGGCACTCAGTAACTGGGTGATACCCAAAGGTGAAAGCAAATTCCCGGTGCCTGGACTCTGATGCCTGGCTATTTCAGAGGGAGTCTTGTGTAGGAGGGATTATTTAATACCATTTCTGACCACCTATTTCCTGATATGTCATTGATGCCTGTTTTTCTGTGGCATGGATATTTGCCAGGTGTCTGACCACAATAAGTGTCCTAGAAGTAATCACTTCATCAGGCATTTGAGGGAGGCACCAGGGAGCCCCATTTTCAGTGTCGCGTTGGCCTACAGCTCAAAGGGGCTGATTGGTACTGGTGGTACTTCTGGCTGTGCAGCACGAGGAGCATTACAGGGCCTCTTTCTTTCCTTAACGAGTTCTCAGACATGCAGTGCTTCACCGTGAAGCCCGTCATGAGCCTGCCACCTGGCTACAAGGACAAACCAGTTCCAGAGCAGATCTTAAAGTAAGTGATTCTTTTTTAAAAAAAGATTTATCAGCCAGGATGTGGTTTATGCCTCTGTAATCCCAGCAAATAGGAGACTGAGGCAGGAGGATGGGAGTTTGAAACCAACTTGGGCTACCTAGCAAGACCCTGTTTCAAAAAAAAAAAAATCTCTCATATTTTATTTGGAGTATACCAAATACAAAGTTTTTATTTAATTCATTACAGTTTGGGGGACTTTCTGCTCATTTTCTTGGTGATTTAAAGTGGTGAGCGTTTTATCTTTTAAGCCAAAGGAAATCAAGAGCTCCACTCCTAAGGGTCAGATCCCTTAGCTTTTATTTTTCCACTCAGAAACATCAAGGTCTAGCCAGTCCCTGGTCACTGAGGACCAGATCTATGTCTTGCGAAGCTAAAATGCTAATGAGATTGTTAATAGGACTATTACAAATCTTTGCAGATGAGATCACAAATGTGTATGTAAGTGCCTTACCTTTTAAAATCATGAGCTATGAAAAAAAAACTCATAAAAGTGAGGTGTGGAAGAAAATCAAAGTGGATGGCCTTACACTCTTGGTGTGGCCACTGTCAGCTCTGAGATGGCTTAGTTAGTGGGGAGACCTCAGCATCAGGCTTGTCACAAGTGTAATAGGAGTGAGATCCAGGAGCTCTGATTCTGAGAGAGAAGAGTGGTTGCTCTGTCCTTCCCCAGCTACTACAGGGCCAACGAAGTGCAGCAGTTCAGATATTCTCGGCCATTCCGAAAAGGAGAAAAGGATCCAGACAATGAATTTGCTGTGAGTCCACTCTCTTTCCCTTCTAAAGCCAGGTAAAATGGACATCCAGGCCAAGGCCTCCCACCTTGCAGAGGTGGAATCAGGCTTCTTCTCCTAATTGCCAAAAGAGCAGGCTGTTGGCTTAATGGAAAACTCTACAGGGTCCAGAAACTGCCTCTGCTTCTGCACCTGCTTTTGAAATGGCCCTGGCCAAGTCAGACCTCCCTGAACCTCAAGTTTCCACTTTTAGGGTGAGAGGGCCCAAGTAGATGATCCCAGGCAGCCTTACCTTACAAACTCCTTAAATTTTGTGAGAAAACATGGTCCATCATGAGGAGGCATGTGGGAAAGGAGTCTTGCTTCACCCACCTGGGGGTCTGCCATTTGTGCTGGAGCTGACCATCGTTTCATTTCATGTTTTCCTTCCTGCCTCAGACCATGTGGATTGAACGGAGCACGTATACAACTGCCTATACCTTCCCCGGAATTCTCAAGTGGTTTGAAGTCAAACAGATTTCAACAGTGAGTCATTTGCTTGTAACTCAGGGGAAAAAAAAAACCAACAACTTTCTGTCTGTCTGCAAATATAATAATATCCTTTGTTACATTCCCCCTGCAGTTTACACCAGCTTGGCCAGCCTCATCTGGCCAACTTTGTTTTTCAAGAGAGAAGTAAAAGGCATGCTTTCTGATAGGGCTATTTTATAAAACTGATGTTACAACACCAACCCGAAAGGTCACTCAGTGAATGACTCTTTTATGGCCCAGGGAGCCTTGTCTCCCCCATGATCCTGCCAGGCCAAGAAACCTTGTTGGATTGGCCCTGCCGTATCTTTTCTCTCAAAGTCTGTCCCCTTTTTTTACTCTCAGCTCGGCCAGTCATCATTACCAAAAGCTGCCGATTTTGCTTTCTTAATTTTTACTTGGTCTGCTAACTTTCCAGTTGCCCTACTTTTTGCCCTCATTCATCTTTGCTTGGTGCTACTGAGAAAGCCTCCAGTTGCCTCCCTGCCTTTCTTTTCAGCTCATTGTTCCTCACTGCCTCAGAGTGTGATCCCATTGAGTAAACCTGACCATTTCGTGTGTTCTCATGCTCACAGCTGTTCTGTTGCTCCCCAGTGCCCACATTACAAAGCCCAGACACAGGTAGACACAGGCTTTGTGATTTGACTCCTCCACTTGCATCCACCTCCATCCATCTCTTTCCACCTCCTTTCCTGTCCCAGCTCCTTCCACCTCCACCCATCTCCTTTCATCTCTACCCATCTCCTTCCATCTCTTTCCATCTCCTTTCACCTCCACTAATCTCCTTCCATCTCCATCCATCTCCTTCCTTCCTCCACCCATCTCATTCCATCTCCATCCATCTCCATCCATCTCCTTCCTTCCTCCACCCATCTCCTTCCATCTTCATCCATCTCCACCCATCTCCATCCATCTCCACCCATCTCCTTCCTTCCTCCACCCATCTCCTTCAATCTCCACTCATCTTCTTCCATCTCCATCCATCTCCTTCCTTCCTCCACCCATCTCCTTCCATCTCCATCCATCTCCACCCATCTCCATCCATCTCCATCCATCTCCTTCCTTCCTCACCCATTTCCTTCAATCTCCACCCATCTTCTTCCATCTCCATCCATCTCCTTCCTTCCTCCACCCATCTCCTTCCATCTCCATCCATCTCCTTCCTTCCTCCACCCATCTCCTTCCATCTCCATCCATCATGTCTTGAGCTCCTACTAAAGCCATGAATACAGTGCATCGTCTGTGTCTGCAGGTTCCACGCCCACAGATTTAACCAACCATGGATTATGTGCTATGCAGCTAGGTTAAGGTGGTTGCATCTGTACTGAGCATATATAGACTTTGTTCCTTGTCACTATTTCCTAAACAATATGGTCTGACTATTTACATAACATTTGCATTGTATTAGGTACTATAATTGACCCACAGGTGACTTCAAGTCTGTGGGAGCATGTATTAGGTTCTGTGCAACTACTGTGCCATTTCATATCAAGGAGTTGAGCATCTGCAAACTTTGGTATGTTCAGGGGTCATGGAACCAATTTCTTCACAGATAGTGAAGGCCAGCTGTATCTCCATCACTTTTGTAACAATGGTGCTTAGCTTGGCACTCAGTAGGGAGCAGATGTTCAAGAGAGATTTCTCCTTGGGCTGGGCATGTGTTGGAGTACTAACCTAACATGCACAGGCCATGGGCTCCATTCCCAGTTCAAGGCGTTGGGAGAGGGAGGAAAATAAAGTTTAATAGGCTTCCTAGCACTACTGATAAATCATTCTTCAAGAATGGGTGTGACTTCCGGACAGACTTTCAGAGTCTGGAGTAAGAACTCACGTGGCCAATACTGGCAAAACCTAGCAACCTGGTTTTGAAGACATTCCCATAGGAGGAACTGAATCTATATTGCATGTCATTCATTTTCATCCCAAACTCAGCCTGGGTATTCTGATACATCCCACTGATTCCAACTCCTGATAACCAGAGGATCTGTCTCAGGTGGTTCACACATAGTCTGAATGTAGGGCTTCCAAGGTCATTTGCTTTTCCTCATGAGGGAGGCATCAAAAATTTGCCAGTGAACATTCTGTGGTGCAGAAGTGTCCCTCATCTTCTCTTCCGCTGTCACTGACCATCACAAAAATCTCTGAGGAAGCTTTGCCTGAAAAAGAATCCTTGCTACAGCTGACTTTCTTCTCACATATTCTGTAAACACTTTGCTACAAGGAATAGTCATTACTATAGCTCCAAGTTTTAAGTCATCATTCTACTTTTTAAGGCTCTTTTAAAGAGCTTACTTTGCATTATGCCAAGACTATTGCAGAAAAGTGTGGTGTCCCAATAAATCTTTTCTCGTGTGTGTGTGTGTGTGTGTGTGTGTGTGTGTGTGTGTGTGTGTGTGTGTGTGTTGTACTGGAGTTTGAACTCAGGGCTTTGTGCTTGTTAGGCAAGTGCTCTACCACTTTAGCCACACCCCCTAATACACATAATCTTGACAAGCAAAGCTTTACTCTCTGATAGCTTTCAGGTATTCAGTACTTCTTGAGGGGAAGAGTTAACTGCACTTCAGTCTTTGCTGTGGGTCTCACAAAGTGTTCTTCTCCCTTCGCTCCATCTCTCAGGAGGAAATCAGCCCTTTGGAGAATGCCATAGAAACCATGGAACTGACCAATGAGAGGATTAGCAACTGTGTGCAGCAGCATGCGTGGGACCGGTCCCTTTCTGTGCACCCGTCTCCATGCTGCTCAACGGCATTGTGGATCCAGCTGTCATGGGGGGATTCTCCAACTATGAAAAGGTGCACCCCACAATCCCATAGAACTCACAGGCCTCCCTCTGAGCCCTTCTGCAGCTAGTGAATTCATTTTCTACAATTTCTCTGCTTCTTCACTCTGATAATTTCACAAGTGAAATTACCAAAAAGATTGACCCTAGCCAGGTGTGGTGGCACACACCTAAAATCCCAGATATTTAGGAGGTGGAGGCAGGAAGATCATAAGTTCCAGGCCAACCTAAAGTTAGTTAGCTCTAATCTCTAAAACAAGAAATAAGCTAGCATGGTGTCTCACACCTATAATCCTAGCTACTTGGGAGACAGAGATTGGGGATTGCAGTTTGAGGTCAGCCCTGGCAAAAATGTTTGCAAGATCCCAACTCAATAAAAAAAAAAAAAAAGCTGGGCACAATGGCATCATCCCAGCTATGAGGAAGACATAAATAAGATAATCACAGTCCAGGCCAGCCTGGGCAAAAAGGCAAGACCCTGTTTGAAAAATAGCTAAAGCAAAAAGAGCAGGGGGCATGATTCACGTGGTAAATGCTTGAACAGCATGTGCAAGGGCCTGGGTTCAATCCCCAATTTTGAGGGTGGAGAAAAAGATTGTCCCTGATCTCACATCTCTTAGAAGAGAACAGCAGCACGCCAATGGAGGAAAGCGTGAATGAAAGAGTGCCATCCCCACGTGTCTCTGGCTCCTGCTCCTGCTTTTCTCTTCGCTCGGAGGTAGACAGCTAACAGGACAAACCAGAGCCATATCTGTAAGGAAACAGGGACAGTGGGACACTCTGTTTAGATGAGTTCCTAGAGCCGTGGCTGTACAACGAAATTCCTTTAACTAAGGGTTAGCTCTGTTAGTCTGAAAGCATGAAAGGAGAGCTTGCCACATTTTACTCCACTGCACAGGACTCATGTAGCACCATTTGAAATGAAGGTCATTCATTCAGTGCAGATTAAATATAATCACTAAAGGCAAGAGTCATAATTATTATGGTGTATTTTTTGGTGCCCAAATACTTGTGGAGTCCTCCTCTAGAATATTTGGCAAGGGAATCCCTTGGAATAGGCTGGAAAGGGGGGTGGAAAGAAAGGGCATTGGGGAGGATGGCAGTGTTGTATGGACCGGCACTCTCATGACCCCATTCCAGCTCTCTGCTGTCCACGGTGTGTTCTTGGATGATGTACTTCACCTCTCTGAGCACCAAGTACCTGTAAAGTAAAGTGAGAGAAAAACCCAACTCACAGACCGATTGGAGGGTTAAGGAATCACAGTCACTTAAGAACAAAGATACACTCTGAGAAACTTGGGCAATTCTGTCACTGCAAACACAGGGAACTGTACAAACTGAGCAGCTACGGCATTGCTGAGTGGCAAAACATGATGGCCCATGCTTGACTAAGATCACTCTGTGACACATGACTTCATGGGGGGCACCATACTGGGTGTGGCATGTCTGTGTAGCTTTCCTCCTCCCTCCTTGTGTCCACTTGGACCCAAATGGATGTTTGTCACGTGCAATGCACCAATGCTCCATGCCTGCTGCTATGTACTAATAATCTCTCTCTCTCTCTCTGGCAGTACTGGGGTTTGAACTCAGGGTCTTATGCTTGCTACGCAGGTGGTCTTCCACTTGAGCCATGTTACCAGCCCTTTTTGGCTTTAGTTATTTTTTGGGTAGGGTCTCATGCTTTTTGCCTGGGACTGTCTTTGGACTTTGTCCTCCTCCACCTTAGCTGGAGTTACAGGTACATGCTACCATGCCTGCCTTGTTGGTTGCGATGGGGATTCTTGCTAGCTTTTTGCCCAGGCCAGCCTCGAACTGCAGTCCTCCCAATCTCCATCTTCCTGAAAACTGGGATTACAGATGTGAGCCACTGTGCCCAGCTCTCTTTTCTAGAACCTTTCAGCCTTCTTTTGTCTAACTCACTCAGCAGCTGGGAACAGCTCAACACCAGAGATAAATTTTAGTTGGCTCATGTTTGCTTCAATAATAATTTCCAGTGCTACAATGGAAGTCAATTCATAAACAGGGGCCAAAGTACAATGTGTTTTTAATACCATAATGCTTTCAATGTGTACGCTTTCAATATCATTTTCATGTTTTTTCCTAATTATTAATTTTTACGAAATGCCCCAAACCACTAATCATTACATGTCAATGTCTGTGAATAATACATAAGTCATATGAAGTTTTTTCAGTGTGACAGTCTTCTAGTTAAAATGGAAAAAAGCAAAGACAAGTAAGTTTTAACTTACACTTTAATGTATATGACATACTAAACATAAAAAGAGGCTGCCCAGCTACTCAGGTGACAGAGAGTAGGATAATCACTACTGGAGGCTAGAACAGAGGCTGGGGGGACTTAGACGCCATCTCACGAAATGAACCAGGCATGGTGGAATGTGTCTAATTCCAGCTTCCTGGGAGACACAGATTAGTAGGATTGTGGTCCCAGGCCAACCTGGGCCAAAAGCAAAATCTTATCTGAAAAATAACCTAAAAGCAAAAAGGACTAGAAGCATGGCTCAAGTAGGCGAGCCCTTGCCTCACAAGCACAAGGCTTGATTGAGTCCTGCCTTCAATCCCCGGTACTGGGGGGTGGGTGGGAAGAGCTAAGCCACGCCTGTTGCCATCAATTGGAAAAGCCATCATTCTGTCATTCCATACTGGATACAGTGGCCTATTTTAAACAGCCCTGTGCTCAGCTGTTGGCTGTAGTTGTCAGTCCTCTCTGGGGGTCCTGGGGAAGGGTTCAGTTAGGAAGTGATTCTCGGGGTACTCTGCTCTGACTTCCCCAACTCAGCCAATGCTTTGGGACTTTCAGGTTATTTTATCACTTGTCACAAAACTGTTCTGACTTTCCAAATTGAAGCTGTGTGCATTTGAAGTAAAAGTGGATGAGAATGTAAGACTGCTTTTCCATTTATGTTGATGTCCATCTGGATCCGATCATGGCTGGAGCTGGCTGCTTTGCTTGTGTACTCTTCTGTTTCCATTTGCTGAGACCTGGGATGCATGCGTTTCTACCCTGTTTTATTAGGTTGTGAAGGCCACTTATCAAAGTTCCTTACGCTGGGTGGTTTAAATGACAGACCTGTCCTCTACCAGTTCTGAAGTCTAGGTCAGCAGGGTTGGTTCCTTCCAAGGGCTATTCCGGAGGCATCCCCTTTGGCTTGTACATGCCTGTCTTCTCATGGCGTCTCGGGTTCTCCCTGTGTGCAAGTGTCTGTCCCTATTTGCCGTTGTCATAAGATGACTGGGATCAGGGCCCACTCTTCTCCAAGCATGATAACCTTGTCTTAACTGGTTGCACCTACAATCACTGTGTTTCCAAGGAAGGTCACATTCTGACAAATTTTAGGGGGGGTGACACAATTCAACCCTAACATCTTCACACAAGAGTTTGCTCCTCTTCCATTTGCCACGTATCATGGGTCGACAGCTTTTTAAACCCTCCTGTAGTTTCAGGAGCTCTTGGATTTCATATCACGGGCTTTGGGCTTTTACAGGAATAGAAACAAAGAATGAGTTTGAAGGTTGGGCTTTGAAAGCATCTTCAGAAAGAAAGCTAAAGGTTCAGAGAGAATGCATAGTCTCGTGTTAGAAATGTCTGCTCGAAACTCCTCTTTCTTAAGAATCCTACAGAGAGCTTTTGCGTAGAATTAAAGTTTGGGTTTTATTTCTCTACTACAGGCCTTAGTCCAGGGCTTGAGTGTTCATTGGTGAACATGATGTTGACAAGACAACCAGCATTTAAGTATTCACAGAATGTCTTCGTGCTGTATCCCACTTTGTTTCCAAAATAACTTTTTGGATAGCTGATTAGTAAAAAGAAAAAGTACAGATTTTACTTAGTAGAGTAAAAAGGAAGGGCACATCTGCCTATTAATGTTTGCTTTTCTTGCAGTGCTGGGGATGGAGCCCAGGGCCTTCTGCATGCTAGGAAAGCATTCCACCATAGGCTACTGCCACCCCACCCCCACCCCACATAATATCCTGTAACATCTGTACACTTGATTGTTAACGTTTAGACATTATTGTTGGGTCTTCATTCTCTGAGAACGTCATTTTAAAGAATGACATTTTGCTTTGCTGGTGATTATGACTTGATAAGCACAAGTGTGCTCACACATTCATGGGAATGAACTCCTGTAAGGAATTTGCAGGACTCCAGAAAGACTACCAAATAGCACCTACTTTTCTGTGGGATACAGGGCATCCCAAGAAAGGAATGGATGTGCAGTTAGACATTCCTCCACCTCTCAGAACCGAAGGTGTTTTTCACTTTTCCAGGCTTCCCACTTCTGTAGTAGGGTCAGGTGGACGGGGGAATGTGTTCTAATTAACGCTTGTGTATGCCCTGCTTTTAGGCTTTTTTTACAGAAAAGTACTTACAGGAGCATCCTGAAGACCAGGAGAAGGTGGAGCTGCTCAAGCGGGCGATCAGCTACAGTATGCAAGGAGCTCAGGATGGCCACACTGTCCATGGGGCCAGAGCCTCTCCAGATCTCCAGGCTTTTTGTTGCAATGCGATGCTCTGTGGGTTACTTTTTCTTTTAAACCTTAAGGAACCACCACAGCCTATCTATATGTTGTGTGTGTCTGGCTGAGACTCAGGAATGGCATTTAATTTAACCATGCCATGTTGACAGGGCCTTCTTGGAGCTATTACAGTTCACAAGCTGGTTTCCTGGCCTGTGTATTTTGCTGAGAGATGTTGGCCTCATTTTTTCCTCATTTTTTCAGTGGACAGTAGTAGAAAATGTAGCCATCAAATTTAGTCTAAGTGTTCCTGTCTGCAGGAACACCCAGGGCCTCGTTGGATTAGCCTCATCACTCTGTCTGCCCTTCCTAAATTTAGATCCTACTGTGTTCTTGGTGTACAAGCCCTCAACTGAAAAGTGGCATTGTCACTTAATACTGCTGTCAGCCCATCCTCACTCTTCCCATCTGAATTATTCCTCTCCTGAGCTGCACTTCATTCCTTGCATTCCCTTCCTTCCAGATGCCTCTGCTCTCAGAAGGGATCCGCATCCACGGGGAGAAGCTGACGGAGCAGCTCAAGCCCCTGCACGACCGCTTGTCGTCATGCTTCCGGGAGCTCAAGGAGAAAGTGGAAAAGCTCTATGGGGTTATAACCCTGGTAGGCTTTCTCTAAATAGCCCTAAAGATTTTTCTAGTCTCTTTCCTTGAGAACACTACAGGTTCTTCAGAGCAATGATCACGTATAGCATAGTAGGACTGAAGAGAGAGCAGAGAGAGAATAACACATTGCTTGATACCCTTGAACCATCCTGGCTTACAGGAGACCATCCATCAGAACTACTGGAGGCGTAAAACACAGTGCTGGTCCTTACCCCAGAGTGGCAGATTCCTCAGACCTGGTAAGGCCCAAACATTGGCACTTCTAACGAGTTCCAGGTGAAGATGCTGCTGGGCTGGTCCACGCCTTTGAGAGCCTATGGACTGACTCAGAGCGGAGGCTTTCCTGCTCTTAGGAACTGGCCATTCCTGTCTCGTCTTGCCCAAAATTTACAGCTTTTGCAAATCTTTCTTTTCTGTTTTGATGACAAGTTTGCAGTCTTCACCCCTTTGAAAAGGAGAAAGAATTAGAAACTATGTCTTACAGTACATGCAGCTGACTTCACAGTTTCTTTGCCAGTTTTGACACATTCGTTGTAGCTTCAGTTTCTTTTTTCTCTCTGAAGAGCTGGCGTAATTGTAGTCCTAGGCCCGAGGCCCAGCTCTGAGGAGTCAACATGTCACGTCTGGCCACTTGTCCCTGATGCCAATTACAGAGGCAGGTGATGGTGAGAGGCAGAGAAAGGAGATTGATTTAACACTCGGCCATGGGGAGAGAGAGAGGGAACACTTCAGCCCATCTTTGGGGAACTGGCAAGAGCTTCAGGCTTAAGTAGAGGAAGAATTGGGGCAGGATCAAGAGGTGTACAGGCAGTCTTGGTCAAAGGTGCAATCCAGTTGATTATCTCAAGATTGGTCAGCCGGGACTTGTCACAATGAGGAAGTCATTGGTGCTGACCTGGTTAGGGGCGGTGGTTAATAGGTTTGATTTTTGTCACAGATGTTTATCATCAGTTCTGTATTTCTAATATCCAAGGTGACTGCAGAGAAAATGGCTCAGAGCAAAGAAGGCAGATACAAAATGGAGGCAGGGATGCCAGGTTTTTTCCTGCTTTAATTACCTTGTAGGCCCAAGTGAAGAGTGAGTGCTTTTTGGCAAAAGCATTTTCTAAGCCCCCGTCATATTGGGCAGAGGGGTGTAGATACTGCTAACCTTTTCTTTCCAGCAGTTGATAGTATGATTTGTTCTTGTTCATTTCTCTCAGGCTGGCCTTCAACTTGTGATTCCCTCGTCTCCCCAAACATTGTGCCATGCCCAGCTCATTTCACTAATCTTTTGTCCTTGAGCTCACCTTTTCTCTAACCGTGTTATTCTTGAAGCCCCAACTTTCCCATTCTTCGCTCAAATTGGAGCTCTGCCTGTGTCTCCAACACAGTTCCTTCCAGAAGACCTCTCTGACCATCTCGTTCAGTCATCAACGTGCCCTGGTCTTCCTTCCTCCTGGAATTCATCTCCTCACCTGGTGCTGGTTTAGAGTGCTATCTAGAAACATTTGTCTTTTGCACACAGGTTCCTGGGCAGTAGGTTAGAACCTGGCCAACACCAGCAATTTAATATTCTACCACATGAGGGCAGTCCCCCTGGCGACATTTCTTATGGCAGGAGATCAGGGTTCCTAGACTTCAGAAGATTCCCCATGTTAAGCTGCAGATCTACAGCCTCCTAAAAATTTTCTCATGGACCAGTTTAAAAGTGAGCAAACGGGGTGGCTGCACCAAATCACAAGAGCTCCATTCCAGGTATCCTAACTGAGGGCTCGTGTGTTTTTCAGCCGCCCAACTTAACCGAGAGGAAGCAAAGCCGCACGGGCTCGCTCATGCTTCCCTACATCATGTCTTCGACACTGCGGAGGCTGTCCATCACCTCAGTGACATCCTCGGTGGCCTCCACCTCTTCCACCTCCTCTGACAATGCTCCTTCCAGGCCCGGATCTGATGGGTAAGGCTGTAGCTTTACTCTCCTGGAGAGCGGGTAATGTCTCATTGTGCTAGCATCGGTCATCAGGGTGAGACTTGGCCTGCGTGTGTACATCATTCCTGTGAGGACCGTGCTTATGTAGTTCAGAGTTCATGTGCCATTAACCTTGGAGTCATTGTTACTACCCTGCTCATGAGGAATGTCGTTATGAATGATAACAAGTTAGTGAAAATGAAAAGAAGGAAAACCACATAACCCTGTTACGTGCTGTCATAGTCATCGCCTAATTTCAGTCTTTCAGAGTAGTTTGAACATTCATATTTACTTTATGAGTTGGTCATGGAATCTCATGGTATGAAATTCCAAAGGTAAAAAAGGACATGTCGTGAAAAATCTCCCTTCAGTCCCAGGCTCCTGACACCAGTAGCCCTCCCGAGAGGTGACTGGAGTGAGCATTCTGGTTCTCAGTTCCCTCTGCAGCTCTTTACAGCAACTCAAGCCATATCCAAAGACACATCCTTCTCCAGGATTGTTTTTGTACAAGTAGCATTCTCTTTGGCTGGCTTTTTAATTTAACATATCTGGAAAAGTCCATTTCTGAACATAAAACACCTCGTCTAAGGCTGTCTTTAGCAGCAGACATCTTGTCACAGGTCTGTACTGTGATCTGTGTCACCAGTGGCCTGCACCTTCCAGTGGACATTCAGTGGATTTAGTCTTTTCTCCTCGTGGCAGTGAATATCAAACTCAAGTTATTTCCCATGCATACAAGTTGTATCAGTCAGCTTTTCGTCACCATGGTGAAGTAGGTAAGGTAGTTAACTTCATGAAGAAAAGAGGTTTATTTGGCTCACAGGTTTGGAGGCTGAAAGTCCCACAGTATATGACAGGAAGGCCACATAGTGGATGGATCTTATGTCATAACTAAGGGCCTTCCCTACTCTTAAAACAACAACAAAAAAAAGGTCCTGTTTTCTCTTTGACGACTTAGTTTCACAATTAAATCTGTGGCTTGTTGACATTTATTCTAACGTAAGCTATGAGGTGTGGAAACAACCTTTTTTTTTTTTATTCCAAATGGTTACCAATTCTCCCCACAGCAGACACGTTTAATTTCTAGTATTCTTTATCAGAATTTATCTGGCTAGTTTTGCTCATTGCCCACTTTTGGATTAACTTGTCTTCAGTCCTTTTGCTGTTTTTATTGGGATCATGGTATATTTATGAATTAATTTTAGGAAGATCAATGACTTTTATTTTTTGCGATGCTGGGGATCCAACCCAGGGGGTCTTTCACATCCAAGGCAAGCGCTCTGCTACTGAGCTATGTACTCCGTCTGATTTATGGCTTTTTAATGTTGAGTCTTCTTGCCAAAAACATGGTCTGGTTTTCCATATGTTCAAATTTAAACAGAGATCAAGAGGAACACAGCTCAAGACCAGCCCAGACAAAATGTTAGGAAGACCCCATTGAAACCAATAAACTTGGTGTGGTGATGCACATCTGTCATCCCAGTGAGGCACAAGGTGTTAATAGGAGAATCCAGGCTGCCCCATACAATAAATATCACGAGACCCTATTTGAAAAAAATAACTAAGGCAAGAAGGGCTGGGAGCATGACTCAAGCAAGAGGTAGAGCACCTGCCATGCAATCACAAGACCTTGAGCGCAAACCCCAGTACTTCCCCCCCCAAAAAAATAAAACATTTAAAAGAAGTTATTTATAGTTCATGCTTTCTACAGTACTTAAGCAGTATTTCATTAATTACAAAATTGATACATACACATATAGAAATTACCGTAAAGTACTAGAATCTTTTAAAAAGAAAACATGCTTTCTGTCTTCACTCAGAGATAACCACTGTTAATATGCAGTTATTAATATAAAAAAAAGTGCAGATGTGGTTTCAACTACTGGGAAAGCATTGCATAGACTGTTTTGTAGCCAAGTGCCTAGTTTAATGTAAATGATGAGTATTTATGCAGCGTTAAGTATTTAAGATAGTGTTGACTCTAAGTCACTTAACACACTAGTTAGTCATAAAATTTTAATTCCACATAATAATAATAATTGTATCATAAAAATAACCTGCCTAGATGACACCCTCCCTGGAAATCAAATATTTAATATTTCCTAAGTTACTTGCACATCTTCTTCCTCTGACACAGGTACCTTCACATAGCTCCCATTGCAGCACAAGCATCGCTGGGCACTTTGATTTTCCTTCGTGGCTTTTCATTGTAAGCTTTTTCTATGTTGCTGCGTGATCCATGTTAATATCAGTTTTTATTGCTTCTGATGACAGTTGTCATCGTGTCATTATCAGTCCTCCTACCGTGAAATATTCAAGCTGTGTCATTATTTCTAAACAGTTCATCATAAAACTTGATTATATTTAGCTTATATCAATATAAGATACATATTTTTAAAAAATTATAGGAAACATATTTGTACGTATAGCTTTCCAATTATTCATTTAGCATGCATTCTTAGAAATCACACATTACCTTCATGTCACACGTCACTTTTAATCAAGCCTGGACTTATTAAATATCCACTTGCAGCTGTAACAGCACCCACTGTAAAGACACAGGATCTTTTTATAATATATTTTGCCTTTCTCTCCCTGTCTACCCCTTCTGTCTTCCCTTATTCCCTTCTCCACCCTACTCTACCACTGGAGAGCAGGTTACATACATCACACTGTAAGAACAAGGCTGTAGTCTTATCTAAACACATACTGTACAGCACAGTTATAAATTTCAGAAATTTGACATTGATGTGATATTTCAACTTACAAAATTTTAATTTTGTTTCTTATCCTAAAAATGTCTCTTATAGCAAGTTTCAGTGCAGGATCTAGTCAGGGTCCCATACTATATTTCGTCGAGTCTCTTTAGTTATCTTTAATCTGGAATTGTTCACTGGCCCAGGGAACTGAGGTATGGAAAGTTTATATGTCCAAGGTCACCCAATGGGCTAAGTGTAGATAGGAGTTGAACACAAGCTGTCTGGCTCCAGAGTGTGTGCTATTACCCATTACATAGAGCTACCTACCAGTGTTTTACTTTATCTCTTTGTACATCTAATGAGAACTTCTCTTCCTGGGGTACTGTAAATATCCACTAATATTTTCTTCCATTCATTTAATAGTCTCATTTCTGTTCATTTTGTCTTGAGGTGTTTGTTGGCAATTGAAAGTTCAGATTTAGAACTGGAGAGTGAAGTTATGGGTAAAGATGACATTGAGGTGCCAGAACCCCTGGTCCTGTGGAGTGAACTGGACTGTCACAGGATTAGTGTTTGATGATTTTTGTCCTTTCTGGCTGATAGGTCAATCCTGGAGCCACTTTTTGAGCGCAGGGCCTCATCAGGCGCCAGAGTTGAAGATCTTGCCCTCAAAGAGGACAGTGAGAACCGGACCAACAAATTCAAGAGAAAAGACTGGAGTTTGAGCAAGTCCCAGGTCATTGCAGAGAAAGCTCCAGAACCTGACCTGATGGTAAAATGAACAAACAAGTAAAATAAGGAAGGGAGGGAAAAGTGGGGGAGGGCAGGGCAGGGAAAGGAGAAGGAAACGGGGGGAGGAAAGAAAGAACAGGCCGGCTCTGGAGGCGTACCCTGCCTGCCTGCCTGTGCCCGGCACATCTCCGCTCGCTCCAGAGCAGTGAGTCACCACACAGAAGCCTGACTCTGACTGATCTCAGGAGCCAGCAGCCTGTGGTAGTGTCAGATGCCAGATGGTGCCACAAAAAGCATGTACGGAGAGCTTCAAGTCTCTGAATCAATATTGGCTCGAGGTCTTGTACCCGCAACGTAAACATGTGGGTTGCCTCTTGAAGTTGTGGTTCTCGCCACCATGTTCCATGAGTCAGTCCAAACATTGCACTTCTCTTCTTTTAACTTAAAAAAAAGGGCATTTTTCTTCTCTAAGCCACATTAAATTGTTAAGTGTGGTGACACCAACTTACCCTGAGGATCAATGTGGCTTTATTTCCAGCCTATATGGCACACTCCAGCTGTGGTCAAATTAAGCCAGTGGCCAGCCAGAAAATAATCTGGGGGTCAGTGACCTCCAGTTAGCACCTCTGCTATGGTGCCCACCATGTGACAGTGTGCCAGCCTTAAAAGTGACTCCTGGAGCCACATGCCCTTGTCTCACGCATGTAATCCTAGCTACTTGGGAGGCTGAGTTTGGGAGGATCAAGGTTTGAAGTCAGTCTGAGCAAATAGTTTGTGAGACCCCCATCTCCAAAATAACCAGAGCAAAGTGGACTTGGAGGTATGGCTGAAACAGTAGACCACCTGCTTTGCCTGCTGGAAGCCCTGAGTTCAAATCCTAGTCCCACCAAAAAAAAAAAAAAAAAAAAAGAAAGAAAAGTAACTCCTGGAATTTAGCCTTTTTACAGATTCCTGCTCAGCAGACAAGACTGTTAGGAGCATAGTGAGCTCAGCCTTCCTCACTGTGAGAGTGTTTTCCTCTTTGCTATTAGAGCCCAACCAGAAAAGCACAAAGGCCAAAGAGTCTCCAGCTGGTAGACAGTCGGTTAACACCATTTTCTGGCTCACCTCCTCAGTCAACACCTTTGAGCCCACCTCCACTCACGCCTAAAGCTACCAGGACCCTAAGTAAGTTCTCTTGTATCTCTTACATTCTTTTTGCTACAGAATGGAGTATGTGTATGAATCTGGGCAATTTTTATCCAAACCAGCCACAAAATATATGAGACTGTTGTAAAGTTGATTTGATTCAGTGGTCTTGGAAATAAGATAATAGAGTTTGACAAGGAGCCTCCAGCTACCTGGTTTGTTAAATGTTTCTCATTAATGATCAGAAGGATCTGAAAGTCCCTTTTCCAACTGCAAAGGCATAAGTCAAGGGGATTCAGAGTAGACTGGACAGGAAGCAAGGAACTTATGAACTAACCATTGAGTAGTTAGACCTGCAAAGGGTCAAGAAAGAGACCCAATCCATATCCTACTGGCTTAGAGAACCAGCACTATGCAATGCTTGAGGAAAATTATAAGGTACCCAGTGGGGCGGAAGCATAAGGGAGGTTCATCTGCCAGTGTCAATGGGGGATAACAGTCAACCAAGAGTTAGAATGGGGCACGGTTTCCTGGAGGACATGGATATATCCAAGAAACTCCAGAAAATGTTCTCATCTTCAGCTTAATAGTAAAAAAATGGAATTTTTCAGTTCATAATTTCCTATGAAGCCATTTGGTGAATGAAAGGTACTACCTTTATCATGAGGGGTAAGAGGTCTTCATTCTGCCTACAGAAACCACAGAAAATGGCTATAACGATTTGATTGACCTGACTGGTTTAAGTGTCACAGAGAAAGTACTGTTTCTTTGAGGCTCCTAGATAAATCTTTCTCTCTCCCTGTCGCTTTGTATCATTTCCAGGCTCCCCATCTTTACAGACAGAAAGGCCGGTGACTTCTGTCCCTCCTCCACCTCCCCCGAAAAGTAAGCCCTATGAGAACAGCCAGAGGAGCTCCACGGAGGTAGGAACTGCAGCTGGCAGTGAGGTCACAGAGCCCCACCCCCAGGGAGACCACATGAGCTGTCCCGGCTCTTCAAAGGACAGGTTTTCCCACACAGTGATCACTGTGATCCTCTTGGGTCCATGCCTGAAAGCACAGGAGGTGGACAGGAAGGAGATACAGCTTTCCCATGCTGCCAAAGGAAGAGGCATTCTCTGTCCCTTGCACTGGGTGTGGGTGGGGAGATGAGTGAGTTCAAGTTCACACTCAAGGCTCACTTCTGAGTGAGAAACAGTTGTTCTGGAGTGGCCTCATGCGGGTTTCCTTCCTTCATTCAGCAAATAGTTGTGGAGTACCTTCCATGTATATGGCAGGTACACAGGTGTTGGAAATACATCTGCGATTGGGTGTGTGCATGCGTACCTGCATGAATCATCAGCTCAAGGGGAACACGTAGGACAAATGAGACTCATTCCCCTTTTTGCCTTGCAAAGGCTATGTAGATAAATATAGACTGGTAATAAGCTAAGGCAGAATTGGGAAGAGAGAGAACTCATTTCTAATCCCGTGTGTCTGCTCCCCAGATTGCGCCCCCACTGCCTGTCCGAAGAGAAGCCAAAGTTCCACCCCCACCCCCTCCAAAAACTCGGAAGTCTGGCCTCGTTTCTTCTGAGCCCGGATCCCAGTAAGGACCTTGCCCTCTTAATCTAGTGTTCCTTGGACAGCTGCTGCCTGAGACCCAGCCTCCAGGAGAGGATTCTTCATTATGGGGACTCCCTGATGGCTGTGCGTCCTAGACTGGATGGTGGTCACCAGGTCAAAACTGGTTTTGTGCTTTCCAAAGCTTCCCTTTGATAGATGTTTGGGGCCGTGCCATATCCCCTTCAGTGCACATGGAGTTCCAGAAGCAGCCATCTGCTGTGTGCTTTCAAAGGAGAGCTGTCCTTCACGATGATTGCATTCCAGCCTCTACCATGGAGACGCTGCAGTCTGCAGAAGCCTGGGCTGGTTCTCCTGCAGCAATGGTGGAGCAGCCCATCCCCAACTCCTGGAAGAGTTCCTGCTTTTTGCTGCTGAAACGCTATGATTGAGACTGACTTGCTTTTCTCCTGTGTGCTTCCCTGTCCCATCCAGCATCTTAGAAGAGCTTGATACCAAGTTCACACTGGGAGTTGACATCTTCCTATTCCTCCATTGTCTACTATGTCCTTTGCTTGGTGGGGGGGGAATGCATATTTAACGGGGATTGGATGCTGTTAGGTGTGAATCACATGGACTCATGTGCCTCACACTCCTGACTTAATGGTCCTTGCCACGCGGTGGTCACTCCTGACCACGGATTCCTTTGAAGCTCTTTTGCACACCCAGTTTCTTGTCCTGTTCCTTCCTCTGTGCTCACATCCCTGCCTGTGAGGGACCTAGGGTCTGGGTTCATCAGCTTCTTTTCCAGGTCCCATTCCAGTGAAGCAGTGGTACCTGCCTGCTGTGTGATTTTACCCTGGAGAACGCAGTGCAATATTATCCCTTTGATTATTTATTCCTCTTGATCATGGAATTAATTTGATTACTAATGGTACTACTGTCAGTACTTCTTGAAGAAAAAACATGAGGTGATTTGAAGGACCAAATATTTCATACATATAACAACCACATGAAGCTAGAGGGTTTTAAAAGTCAAATCTAGAAGACTCTCATTTTGTAGCTAAGGAAATTGAGGCTACACAAAGAAAGTGGTACTCCAGCTTCTTACAACCCAGCTTGCTAGCGTAGTCTTTACAAGGTGTTTAATACAAGCCCACAACAGAGCAGTATTGGAACTGCCGCAGCTATTTCTGTAGTATTTAGGTATTGATAGCAAAGCAGAAAGTTTTCTGATTAGGACTTCAGAGGTCAACCTCGGGTGTGCTCAGAGGTCTCTTCTATGACCTTGGCCAAGTCCTCTCCTCCAAGTTCAAGAGAGCAGAGAAAGAGATTTCAGCTGTGAGAATCTGCATTTGCCTACCTGCCTCTTTGTGTGCCTGGTTCATCATGAGGGTCAGCCTAGTAAAAGGTCTGAAACAAGTCTAGCATGTTACCGAAGAAATCAGTGTGCAGATTCTGGAGGTGGCGTGGAAATGTTTACTCTTCACCCCCACGAAAACGATGATCATGGAAAAAACACAGGCTTTAAGTTTTGAAACCTATTTGGTCTCAAATCCCTGCCATGTCACCTCTTACCTTTGCAAATTCCGCAAAGCGTTTGAAATCCTCTGGGCTCCATTTTCTCACTTTGCAGAGTGGCACAGTTCCTCCTGCACAGGTTGCTGTGGGTTCCGGTGAGATGGAGAATGTGAAGGAGGAAGCATTCACAAGGTGCTCCTTTCTGCTGTCTCTCAGAGCTGGGTAAGGTCTGGCCCTAAGGGCGTTACTGATACGACTTATTTTTATTCAAGGTAATTTGAAGTGTGAATGCAGATTAGTTCTGTACATAAAGCTCTGATCCAAAAGACGGCACCCTTCGGAGCCTTTTACATTGTTATTTATGACTAAAGATGGTGTCAGTAAGAACTAGAGAAGATTTTAAGGAGAAAAAAAATCAAGCCCTGCAGAGAAAGGAGGGGGCGACAGAAAGATTGTGGACCACTTCTGTGGTGGCTGGAACAACTTCTCAGAAGTCACCGACAAGACTGGCTAGAAGGAATTTATAGGTCTTACCCTACTTTTGAGGCTGCCATTAAAATAGAAAGATGTAAACAGGATCATTAAGAAAAAAACACTAACCTGTCCTTGCAGGGCAGTAAGTGTGTGTCCCCATTCAGGTCTGGAGATGAGGCTGGGGAGATGTGATCTCTCAGTGCTCAGATACATTCCTTCTTTTAAAAGGACACATTTTTCATATGATCCCCTTTATATATTGCTGGAAATAATAGCTCTCCACTGCCTGAACCCCAGGCATTCCAGGTAGCATTGTGGACACAGCTTACAGAGGACATTATTAGAAGGTTCATTTCCTTGGGAAGCTGGAGGGTAGGAAAGAGTCAATTTGACAAAAGTCATAAATGACACTGTCCTGAAGTCAAAAGAGGAAGACCTCAAAGAAACGTCTCATGATCACGTCAAATACGGAAAGAGAGGAGCGGATGCAAGAGGAGAGCAAGAGCTGGACTTCATCTTCCTTTTGAGGTTCCTCGAGATGCCAAAATTAGCCCCAAAATTGTCACAGTCTTTGTGAATATTGGTTTGTGGTTTGTGGGCCCGTGTTAATTTTTTTCCTCTCCTCTCTGTCCTTTTGAGATTCTTTTCAAAAAGAATTATCCCTTTCAGCATATACCAAGTTCTTATTGAAGGCCAGGCATGGCACTAGCCTGTCAGGATGTGGGAGTTTCTTTTGTTCAATGGAAATAGCCCAGCGTACAAAGACAAGTTCACTCTGGTGTGCTGCAGGATTGGAAAATCAGAGTACTGGATGAAAGTGAAGCCCTCGTTCAAGCTGCTGGGCCATGGATTGCCCCCGTTTCAACCCTTACCCCTTGACTCCAGAGTTGTAGTCATTTCTTCCCGCCAGGGAAGCCCATGAAGAACTCAGCCACAGTGTAGATCCCAAGGATAAAAAAAGGTGTCAAGCTGTATTTGAGGTAACAACCTACGTTTGTTAACTCTTTCTAAGCTGGAAATCTCTCTCCAGTTGTCTCTAGATCAAGGAGCAATTTTTTATTTTAAAACAGACAAACTTACATACAGTTCAGTGCACAACTCTTTGGATGCAGCTGAATGCATTTTCAGGTAGCTGAACCCCCATGTCCCCACCTCTCAGATACACACACAACTCCAGCACCCCAGAAGGTGCCCATGTGCCTGTGATCCATCAAGTTTGTGCCTTCTTTCTTCGTGCTTCTCAGGTATAATGAAAAGGGGAGAAAGACTCCACCATCAACACAAAATAAGACTATAAAGATTTTGCACTTTTAGCAAGTCCATTTCTGGTCACTCCCTGGGCCTCGTCTGTAAAAACTACAATACTGTATTTTGAGGCTGCATGGTTTTTCAAATCCCTTCTACCCTAGCTTTTTTATTTTAAGTAAATCAAAAGAGAAGGCAAGGCAGAAGGAAATTTCTGTACAAAAGTTTTCAGGTCCATGCACTGGAATCCCCATTTTTCATTTTTCATAAGGACTTGGTGCTTTGACCCTGCCATGCCTTAGCTACTAAGGTCAAAATATTTGTGCTGGGGATAGAGTTCAGTGGTGGAGTACCTGCCTAGCAGGCACAAGGCCCTGGATTCAAACCCCAACACTGCAAAAAAAAAACCATTGTGAATATTAAAATAATGACTCTAGTACCTATTTTTGAGATATTGACACAAATTACCATAATTCTCAGCAGAAACCGTGATATATCATGTCTGTAATTGTCTTTAGCACACCATGTCTAGACTTCCCGTTCGTTTTAACAATCAGGGTTTCCTTTCCTATGTCATTTGGGAAGTTGATGAATATTACTTCCTTGGAAATGTTCATTCCACTAGAAGTCTGTTATTTAAAAGAATTTGGAAAAAGTAAAGTTTGTCTTTGGCAGGATTTAGAGTTGAGCCATCAGTTCTAATCTTATCAGAGGAATAAGGGTTTGCCTTTCTGATAAACGGTTCCAGTGTGACTCAGATCCAGCCAAAATTCTTCTCCCATAAATCCCACCTAAACCCATGTGGTAATCACCTTTTTTGAGACGTTCACCCAAACTTTGTGGAAAATTCCTTTACCGTGATTTTGTGACTAGTTGGGTTTCATACACGGACAGTTAGGAAGACAAGCAATGATGTAGAAGAGTTGTGTTCAGATTTGCTGTTATTTATTTTTTAAATTAAAATGGAAATGTATTTTAAAGTTTATTATGTGTTTAGCTTGTTATTGCTCATATCTTAATGAAATGAAATCAAGAACCTTGTAATTTTTCCTTACTGACACCTCCTTCAAGACACAGCATGTCCTGGGGTGCCCTAGCTCCTTTCATTCCAGGTCCTGTTTGGTGAAACTTGTACTATGGGGTTCCTGGAGTCATCTTGGCTGGGAACTAATAAAATTGCAAACCGTTTGCTTCTTTTTGCCCTTACCATCTATGTGTTTGGCATCTGAGCTGACAGTTTTCTGATTCATTTGTCACAGGTAATTAGATAGATAAAAGTAAAGAGAGAATGAAGTTTTTTTTAAAAAAAAAAAACATATCTAGGCTGGACCCAGCTAATCTATTACTTTATTAAAGCAATAATTACCACTTTCTGTATGCATAATTATTATCTAGATGCTTTTAAAAAATGAAGTTGGCTTGGGCCCGAAAGACTGAATGAATCTTTTTGGGCCCTGAGAAATTCCACTTTCTTTCACCCATATTTTCAGTGTGCTGGTCTCTCATACAAGGATTCTTGGCTTCTCTGCTACAACTTCTGTAACTTTTGCTAAAATGATCCATCTGTTTTCAAACCATTTCTTTTTGCTAGTTGATCATTTAAAGCCATATACATTGGAGAACTCATCTCATTAAATGTATCATTTTATATATTTCCTCACCCTATTTTGAAAGGCCGCAGACTTTTTAACTTACATTGATGAATGAGATGTTCTGATTTAGGAAAGTATTTGACATTTTAGTAAAGGGACCATTGTCACTTTCCTTCTTGGTCGTTTGGGCCATTTGCTCTCCCACATTACAAATCACCAGATACCATCCCAAGCCTATAGCACTGGCATCAGGTAGCTGGATGAGCATCGTTTTATCTATCCCCTTGAGGGACCCCCACAGCTGACTTCAAAGAAATTGCCCCAGAGATAAGATTTCACAGGAGAGTTGATGCCCCAAGTTGATGTATAAACTAAGCAGGCATGTTGTTGCCTTTTGAAAAAAATGTATTAATGTAAAGATTGTAAACTATTTTGTTTTTATAAAAATAAATAGTTACTGAGTGATTGGCAACTAGAAGCCTGTGGTCCTGACTTGCCTGTAGTGATTAATGAAATAATACAATTTTGCCTTTGATCCATACAGCATGCCGTGGATCACATTACCACCTAATTTTATTAAAGTGGGAGTGAAGAACTATTTTTGATTCAATTTTCAAGATTTCTTCAAATGGAGATATTTGGGAGATATAGCATTGTGCAGTAGTAAATGTTAAGATATTTTATAGAAATGTTTATAGTAAATACTGATTGAAGATGTGGTTCACACCTATAATACCAGCATTCAAGAGGCTGAGGCAAGAGAATTGAGAATTTGAGGCCATCCTGGGTTGCACGGTGAGACCCTGTCTCAAAACAAAACAAAAAAAATGGTTCTCTCCCCAACAGGATGTTTCTGGTCACTGTTCGGATTTCTTAGCACAGGTGTCCCCCTCTTTTGGGGTGTGTGTGGGGGGAGTGGAGAAGTTTCATTTGTCAAACTAAAAGAGGAAAAAGGACCTAGTTTGTTGCTTAGAAATTATCTGAAATTTGAGTTTTTGAAAGGGTCCATAGCCATCTGGAAGTTGTGAATAATGAGAATATTGGTGTCACAGTGTCTGGGATCCCATGGTCACCAGTAAAACTCAGTTGACCTGTGAACCCAGCATCCTGTTTCAGGTCCAGTTAACAAAACCCAGGATCCAGTTTTATTGGCTGTTCATCAGAGTGCTGTTCAGGAGTGGTGAGCGTGGAACCAGACAGAGCCAAGTGGGTCTCCTAAACCCTGAGACTCACTTTCCTCCTTTTAGATGAAGACAGTCTGTTTGCTACTGAAAATCTTTGTGCAGATGTTTAGCACAAAGCCTGTCTTTGTGGAGCATGAAAGGTGGGAATGCTAGTTAAAGGCCAGGGGACATAGGAACACCAGGACCCCATCTTCAATGGTCTGTCTCTACTCCTTTGTGTTTCTTGAGTGAAATTCCAAAAGGATCAGGCAGGTAAACACTATTATTTTTAGGTCTTGGTACCTGCTATGGTTTGGATGTGATTTGTCCCATAAAGGTTCATGTACTGGAAACTTGGTCCCCAAAGGAAAGGTATTTGAGGTAGTGGAACCTTTACAAACAGGTAGGTAATTAGGTCACAGTGGCACCACCCTCAGGAGCAATGATGCCTGACTCACAGAAGTGAGTTAGGTATTGTGGGACTGGATTAGTTACCAGGAGAGGAGTTTGTTAAAGAGTGAGACTACCACACATTTGTCTCTTCCTTGCATGCCCTTCACACTGGGTGGGGGTGGGGTAGGTAACTGAGGTTTGAGCTCAGGGCTTGGGCTTCATGCTTGCTGCACCAGTGCTCTGCTGCTTGAGCCGCACCTCGCCCCCTTCACTTTTTTATATGCTCCTATCGTGTGATGCCATCCGTCACGTCCTGACACGGCATGAAGCCCTCCAGATGTGGCCTCCCAAGCTTGGCATTTTCAGCCTCCAAAACTATAAGCCAAAAGTAAACTTCTTCCTTATGAAGTACCCAGGCTCAGGGTTTTGTTTTGTTCCTATGACAGGATCTTGCTGTATGGCCCAGACTGACCTCCCAATTCTCACTCCTCCCACTTCAGCATCCTTAGCGTTGAGATTAAGGGCATGAACCGTCAGGCCTGACCTCAGGTATTTCTCTAGCAATAGAAAACGGACTGAGACAGTTCCAGACTTTAATGTGCACGGTTGGCCAGGCAGAGCCCTGCATTAATAGACCTGTGAGCCACCCCCTCCCTTCAGCCTCACTGGGGTTTCAACTGGGCGGAGACAATTTAAGGAGGAAACTTCTTTCCAAGTGGCAGGAAGCCTTGGCCATAGCTCCACCTTAACTTCAGTAGGTTAATGGACAAAGATGACCTTACAATCCCCTAAGAAACTATAGCTAAATCAACTTTCTCCAGCCTGGATCTGTGTGTGGCCCTTGTCCATAGCCATGAGATCAAGCCAGTCAACCAGAGATACTTTGTGTCACCTCATCTTCCTTTCCATCTGCCTCGTGTGCATTTATGGGGAAGGCTCCCTTTAGGGGCGCCCCTCCCCCCAGAGCTCGGGGCTAGAGAAAGACTCCATTTGTAACACTTTTTCCATGGCACGCCACTTTATTATGAAACGTGCATCCTGGTGTAAAAGTTTCTGAAATTCACACAATTTTCAGATATGTAATGGGTCACAAACTTCAACCTCTACATTACACTCAAGTGTTGTCCGTCCTTCTGGCTGAATGGATTTATATCTTCTTCTGCTCAGTTTCCTGTTCAATCAGACTTTCCTGAAAAATATGAGTATCAAATATATAAAGGTTGACTGGACTAGCTGAATTTCATTTAATTTTAATTTCTAAAACAGGGATCTAGGAGGAACAGATCCATTTGTTGTCATGCACTAGGAAGTGCTAGAGAGAGATGATAGATTGGGTCTTTTTTTATTTGAGACAAGGTCTTACTGTGAGGTCCAGGCTGACCTCAAACTATCCTCCTACTTCACTCTCTGAGGGCGTGAATTACAGGTATGTAACACCATGCCTGGGAGACTGTGTCTTTTTAAGGTACTTAATAAACATAAAATCCACATTAATAATAGTTTACGGATAGGATGTGAGGAAAGAGATGAGAGTTCTCATCCTTAAGTATGAATTACGCCAACTTTTTCTTAAATTCCTTCACAATGTCATCTCTGGGAAAATTTCACTGCTTGTTATTTTTATCGGGCAGTAAGCAAGATTGGGAAAAGAAAGGAAATAAAGATAATCTGCCCACTTTCTTCTTTTTCCTGTGGGTATTGGAGGTTGAAGTCACTCAAGAAAATTAAAAATACAGCTTATCTTCATTTATTCAGGCTTTCTCTCTCCCAGGCATGATTGGAAATTAACCATAATGTTTTGTGACAGCTGCACATCCATGGACCATGACACTCAGACAACAGTGACACTGAATTCAATTCGGTGTCTGTATTCCATCTGTTTTATACTTATTTTTCATCAAAAATCTGTGTTAAGATTAGTAGATTTCCATTTTAGGTGGAAATTTAGTCCTAAAAAAACAATAGAAATCAATTCTGCAGCTCCGAGTTACAAATTTAACAAGTCTGGAATTTAACCCAAACGGGGGGGAAAAACGTCTAAAGCAGTGTTTCTGGTATCTGTGTTTCCCAGAGTCCTGGAAAACCATGCCATAGAACAACTGCTGAATTAAGTGGAGGGTTGTCGATCAGCTTAGAGAAGACTGGTTGAGTGGGTTTGATGAATGTGCTTGAAGAATTACAGTATAATTAGGTAGCTCTGTATTCTAAGAATTCGCAGTGGGAAGACATCTGTTGGTCGTCCCAAGGCTGAACTGTCTACCCACAGAGTGGGAATGCCACGAGGTAGTGAGAGCCCATCATGGGAGAGGCTGTGACAGTCAGGAAAGTCAGCTCACAGCGGCTAGGTGGAGTGGTCATGAGTGGTACCCAAGGGCCTTTCCTTCTCTGCAGGGCTGTGTCAAGTTCTTATGAACTCACCAAAGCTCCTCTCAGGTCCCTAATGGGAGAATGAGGTTGGTGGACAGTGCATTCGAAGCGCTGGGGTTCTGCCAGTTGCTCAACCTCTTTGGCTATCTGAAGAAGAAGAATGTGACTCTTTAAGAGATTAAAAAATGACGTATTTTCTACTTTCACCAAAAATTGTGCAGAGTGAGGTCTGGAGGTTGTAGGACTGAGTGGGAGGCTGAGAAAGTTGTAAGATCGGGATGGGGAACGTTAAGGACACAGATCCACCGTCAGGCATTTTTATGGGATAGTTTAGAGCTCTGGAGACAATGGGGAACAATAGGAAGGGACCATGTTCTCTTAGACATGATGACTGTGAAATACTTCCAACCCTATGAAGAAACAGTACACAAAAAAACTGCAAGAGTTTATAGCTGAGTAGGGTTGCTTTCTATTATGTTCAATGAGATTTGCTTCACATAAAATCTGAAGAGCATCTTTCAGATTCTGGGGATTCTTTCTTATTTCTCCAAAAAGGGATACATCTTTCCAATGAAAGCTAAATGGTATTTTCTCCAGCTAAATTTCCCATTCTCAGCCCTATGTTACTTTTTGGATTAGTCGGTTAACGTAAATGGCTTCTCTCATAAAATCCTCACCTGTTCCTAAGAAGACACATTTTTACAGATTTTTTTAAGGTATCCCATGCTAATCTACTGTAATCTAGATGAAATTAAACCCAGCACTTTTCTATTACACTGTCTCGTCACTGTAAATTTGCTAATTCCTGGACTCCAACATTCTCCAACATTTTTACTTAAATGATAGAAAGAAATCACAGAACATACATCCTTAGTAAGGATACTTACATGAATGTACTGCTGATTTAATATTGTAGCCAAATTAGAGTACAACGAACTGTCTGTACCTGTTGGGCTAGTCTCTTGGCATTTGTCCCTCTGTTTCGTCAGTCTTTGAATTAAAGGTGGGACTTTGACTCCTGCTTTGTGAATGTCTTCTCTTCGTGGCCTGTGTGTCTAGGACAGAGTGCTGGGTATCATGCTGAATATTTTATAGTTCAATTAAAGCAAAGCCTCTAAGCTTTATTTTGAAGCCTCATGAGAGGAACTTACCTCTTGGAAAGAATCAACCAAGTTTTCAGCATTTCTTTTCCCTCCCGGGCGCAATCCATAGGACCAGTGCTGGCTGGAGCAGCCCTCCACACACGAGGTCAACAGAATAAGTACAGCCAGAAGTTTTGGAATTGTCTCCATTCTAAGGAACGTCAGTGAACAATCAGAAATAGACCCAGACTGGAATGAACGAAAATAAAGACCTCTTAAAGAAAAGCCTGTCATCTGTACCTATAACTCTACAGAAGATGGAAGTTAGGGCTATACAACTTTTACACACAGACAGTGAAGCAAAAAGACATCTACTTGTGTGCCTTGAGTTTCCTAGCCATTGAGGACAAAAAAAAAAAAATATTTTAAACTCACTTCTTCAGCACGTTTTTTGGTAATCTATTTTTATTATTTAGTTATCCAAAACCCATGATTCGCCCCTTATCAAGTTCACATTTTGGCCTTCACATTTCCCTTGTCGTGGATTCATTTTCAACTATTATTCCTGAGAATAAGACTGGTGAACCATCCACTCTGAAAAGTAACCCTTGCTAGGTATTTCTGGCTAATATAAAGTTGCCTGACTATAAAAGGCGAGACTATGCACTAAACAACGTGCTCCTGGTCTGTCCTCTAGTCTTTCAAGTATTCCTGCTGGCTGGACCATCTGTAAGAGCCAGCAAAGACTCCACACTCATCCTGGTGGTGAGTCCCTGCACATATCTCTCTTGCCAAGGGAGCCCCTAATTATCTGATGAAATGTACCTCTAAATTAATTTTCATCTGATGTGGAAGAGGCTAAAGTCAAACATTCATCAACAAGCCATTGGGTTCCCCAGTGACTGGATCTCTTGTCACCTTGTAAGTGACAAGGTCAGTGAAGATCAAGGCTTCTTTTGATGCCATCACCGTTGGACTTAGTTCTTGAGGTATAAAATGCCCTGTAGACATACAATAGCACGAAATCTTAAAAACAAATAGTACCATAGAAACACAAAGTACTTTACCTGTTTGGAGGCAAAGGTCAGAAGAATCCCAATCTTCCTTTGGGATGTGGTGAGCTCTGTGACTTTTCTCTTCTTCTAGCTTCCTTTTTATATGAAACTTTTCCAGGACATTGAAATCTTTCCCGCTGGTAAATTATGCTGCACACAGACTACAGTTTAATAATAATAATTTTTAATCCTCTCATAAAGCCCTTTAATGGTGTATGTAATTGGAACACCCACCGGTGTATCTGTTAAATTACTTAACTCTGGCCATTAAAATCTTAGCTAAAACTTTTATAGCTGAGGCCACCATTCAAAGAGATTAAAATCTAGCTAGGTTGGATTCCCTTGAGGAAATTGACAGCCCTATCAAGAGTTCAAAGAAAATAGATGTTTGAGACTAAGTGAAGTCAAATGCACAGACAAAACTTTCACAAGGCGGACAGTGCAATAAATATAGAAAGTTGAGTCAGGATGCCCTAGAGCTGATCTCAGCTTTTAGATTCCCTATTTGTAAAAGAAAGGATTTTAAACCAGATAATCAGTCATTTTCAGTTTTAAAAACCTCATTTATTAATGATTATTGACATTATATAAAATCCATATAGGATCCTAAAATAGATACTGGGTGAACATTCTCCAGTTTCCTACCCACAAGGTTTCCACCGTATCATGAAAACTTGCAGTTCAAATACTCTAAGAGCAAGACCCTATTAAGCAGATTTAAGCTGATGGATCAACTCCTTTTAGTAGATGCTTATGAAATGAAAATATGCAAACCACCGTGCTAAGAACAGTGAGCACGACGAGGAAAAGCAACAGTTGCCTGTAAGACCAACCTTATTCATTATAACAGCCCTGAAAAGTACCTATCATCATCCAAATTGTTGGTTTGCTTGAGGTGAGGTTTTTGCTGTAGTGCTCAGAACGGTTTTGAACTCCTGAACTCAAGTGATTTTCCTGCTTCGGTCTCCTGAGTGCTGGGACTACAGATTCATGATACTACACTTGGCTGTATCATCAGAATTTTATAGATGTCACACCCCAAACCACAGCGGCATAACCTCGGACATGCTATTTACATAAGCATTTTAAAAAGAAATAGAACCATTACTCTTTATTGCATTCATTTGAATACATGATTGCCCTTCCCCTAATTTAATCTAGGTTTATAACCCATGACTGTCAAGAATTCTATCTAATTATCTGTTAATAAACCTTGGCATCGAGTCAGCATCCAACACGTATAGGTTTGAATAAACGACTGAATGAATGAAAGTAAGGACTTTTTAAGCCAGGTTAGGTTTAATGTTTCCTCTACTTCTGCTTCAAATATGTTTATTTAAACCTTATGTACAATAGGTTGCAAAGCCTGCGGCATTAGCTAAGCTGTAAGATGCTTTAAAAAAAATAAAACTTAGTTACTGTTTGTTCATTTTAGAACTGAAACTGGCAACTTCTCAGGTAGGATGCTAAACCCACCAGCCATTGCCTACATTCTCTGAAATAATCCCATTCACAAGGATTCTAAAGAGCAATGAATGGTGTCTTGCCAAGTAAACTCATTTGGTTTTTCCAATATCCCTGTGAAGGCTACCCAGACCTGTGGGTGGAAAAGGGGACAAACTTTAAAGATAATTGTAAATGGAGGGAACTTCAAGATAAAACATCAATGATTGATGCTAAATTTGTTTTAATTATTTCACTTAGATAGCTTGACTAACCCGCCATTCAGATCTTAAAGAGTGGAATCTCATCTAATTTCCTGCTTATAGAGGGATGTGCTTCTCAATGTCACCTAAGCAGAAACTGTGATCTTTGGCTAGCACTAACGGGATGGGAGCCCTATGGCCAGGTGAAGCACTTACCTCTGGGTGAGCATCATGGGGCTACGTGTAAGTTTCCATGAATTGCTAATTTGAGAAGAAATGCTTTGGAAGGTTAAAAGATGAACACAGCAACAAGATTTGTGAAATTATTCAATATGCTGTATGTTTGTGCTGTAAATCTGCAATAGTCTGGTCTTAGGTCACATAGATTTTTTTTTTTTTTTGCGGTACTGGGGTCTGAACTCAGGGCCTCGAGCTTGCCAGGCAGGTGCTCCACCACTTGAGACACACCCCTTGCCCTTTTTGCTTTCATTATTTTCTTAATAGGGTCTTGCATTTTTGATCCTCCCTGAGTAACTGGGATGCACCTGGCTGGTGAGATGGACCTTACTTGTCTTACTTTCTACAATACCAAATGGGATATCAAACCACTATACCAATAATGAGGTTTTGATGTGTAGTGACACACTTTGAGCCCATTCATAATTCCCTGGTTCAGCCAATTTACCAAGGAACTGAACTTAACAAACTGGACTGAAAAAATTGGAATTTAAGGTTGTTATATTTTTTTCTAAATTTGAAGGAATAACTTTAGAGAGAAAATCACTAAATTTCCAACATGAAAACACCTCAAAATTATTACAATAATGATTTCGTAATCTCACTGAAGGACAAAGGAAGAACATCTCTTCTGCCCTAATGTAAAATCTCGGTGGGAAGACGTCAAGGTTAACTCCAGCTGACACATCTCCTCAGGTTGCTGAAGGGTCCCAGAGAATTAATCCTCATACAAGGTGCCTTAGACTGAAATAATGCCATCACTTTTTCTTTGTAGCACTGGACCTTTTAATTTTAAATCTATTGCTTCCTTGGGGATTTAATAAAATTCGAGGGTTTTCCGTATATTAAGGATGACTTAAAAGTTGACTTGGGGCAGATTTCTAGTATGAACAATAGATTCATAACATGAACAACTGGAGAAAATACGTCAGGTCTTGGTTTATAAATGGAAACCATCAAAATCATGACTTTGCAACATTTACTAAGATTGCCTTGAAACTGTAGTTGAAGAAACTAGACTACATCAGAACATAACATCTATTGATTTAGACAATTGCTCAAGTAAGAGAACTGATTTTATCAATGTACATAATCTAACCAATTTGGGTTTAAACAGCTCCCTAGTCCTCCCCCAACAAAACTATTTTAACTTATATGTAGAGTCACCATCTACCACGAGGACAGGCAGAAGGTGGAAGCTCTTTTTCCTTATTCTCTCTCCTAGTTGTCAGGCAAAAAACATTCTGAGGGAGCATGTTATCCATTTGGCTTAATAACACAAACTGGAAATGTTCACAAACAAATCAGAGAAGTTGCTGAAAGCAGTTTTTTCTTTTGTTCAGAATAAAGGTTTTTATACTTGCTAGCAGGGTGGGTTTTGAAGAGATGGGCCAAAAATAGTCATGTTCTAAGAAATCAAGTTACTTCAATGATGGCTTCACAAAGACTGTTCCATCACAAGTGCTGTGCTGAATTCCCTTTTCCTCCCAGTCGCTCAAAGCCAGCTGCCGACCCATATTGGAGAAATGTAAGGGAAGTCCAGAAAGTACTGATCTTCAAAAGCCACAGAAGGAACACCAGGAGTATCTTTTCAACATTTCATATCATTTATTAATGCAGTATACATCAGATCCAAACTGAAGTTTCTAAGCACACCATGTTTAGATCTTTCAGATTCTTCTGCAGTTTTAGGTTTGTCTACAGAGGTACCCTTAAGTGAATTAACATATTCTGCAATTACTGAAAATATAGTACAGAATGAAATGATTTAAATATAATTTAGGCACATATTGATTATGAAAATAGATATCTCTCAATACAATACTTCTCTGTCTTGGTAAAAATAATAAAGCAAAGAAAATAATTCATTTCTAAGGTTGCTTTCCTTCACCTGTAAAGGTGCGATCTCCCCACCCTGTGCATATGTGCCCTTTACTGTAAGGAAAGCTTTGCATATGTAGATAGAGAATAAGCTACAGAATACTAAAGATATGTCATCCTCCCAAAGGAGTCAAAGGTGGATTTTAATGATTCATTGCCTCAAGGTGATGCGTCTACAGGATTCACAACCCTTTTGGACACAGCATATATCCCTGCTCTTGGGGTACACACAGGACACTGGGACACTTGGGGGCGGGGGGAGAATAAAGGCCCAATCTCTGCTGCTGCAGAGCTTGGCTCTGCTGAGCTAAATTTTGATTTAAAAAATATGTATGTGTACACACAACAGAAAATATAAGTAAAAGAATCAAAGGTGCTGACTCATTGGTATTACATCTTAGACCAGCCAAATGCCTTTATTTTCATTAATTTTTTGTTGGCTATTATCAAACTGTCAGTTAAGGTTCCTCATTCCCCACCGCGGGGTTTTAGCTGTAATTATATTACATTGCCTTCTAAAAAGTGACTCTGCTGTATTTACTCCTATTTTATGGCTTTAATGGCAGTGAACTGAGACTTCATACCTATTTCTAACCTGGTCTTGTTTACACTAATTGGCATTTGTGTTAAGTGGGTGTTAATGATGCACCTTGGTTTTTTGGTTTTGAAGTATCTTTCTGTTTGTGTTGATTGTGTGAGAAAACAAGATGAGTTGTCAACAGAACTGTGTTGAGTGGAACTTGCCTAGAATGAAGCTCTGATGAATGCTCATTTATATGCTGTAGCTATAGGCAAACTCTTCATCTGGAGACTTCCAGCCCCTTTAGAATGATAACCATATACAGTGGTCTTTCCTTCCACTCTGTCTCAATCAGTAAGGATGGGATACTTCCTTACTACTGTTTTGCTCTAGAAAGTAAACATTATAAAAATGAACCTGAAAAGAGAACCTTCTAGAGTCTGACCTCACCACGTTCACATGGTGCACAGATATCTAAGGGGGGAGGAGTCACTAAAGCTATTTATACACCTGAACAACCTTTTCATGTTCTCATAAAATTTAACAAGTTTATCCGTACTGCATCTAGGTATTCAATAAATATAATTGCATGTGTTGTGCTTTTCATAAATTAAAATTCTCAAATGCATCTTAAACCAAGATAGTATTTCCATATCATGCCTATTTAAAGCAAATATAACAGATACTATTCCTGGTCATTAAACCAGGCAAGCCCCCACCCCATTCAAAAGGCAGCAGTATAACCTGGTGTCCCTACATCTATTAAATGAGCGCTTTTCTTAAAATCAGAATGTGGGGAAAAATTCAATTTTTTCCCTTATGCACCACTAAGAAAAACCATAATCCTCTAAACACTTTTTAAATTCCCTTACAGTGTTTTTCTTCTAGACAACTGAGTGGGTGGAGAAGAAAAATGATATGGAAAACATATTTTAATTCTGACATCTTCTACCAGCCCCCACACTCTCATCTGACACTCTGGGACATGTGTAGTGGTGTCAGCATCTCTTCAAAGATGGCCCCCTTCACATTGGATCCTCTTAGGTTGGCTTCCTGAAGGTCACACCCAGACAGATCACAGTTCTGTAAAGCAGAACAAGGCTTATGTAACCACATGGAAACTTAGGGCCTTACATGTTTCCTCTCAACATGACTTCTGGGCATATTAGGACACTGTTCCTATACAGTAAAACTCAAGACACATCTTTTCTTGAACACTACCAATGTATATTAAAGCCAAGTTTTCTACTATCTGAAATTGTTATCCCTGGCTGACATCAGACTGTCTCAAACATGTCTAAACAAAGGTTAAACAAGATGTTCCCCATCTGATCATATGTTTTGTAAGCAGGCATTTAAAATCCAGAATGGATTCCAATGTAATAACTACTATCTAAACAAATCTACCACAATCCCAAACAGTAACAAAAGTCAGGAAGACTGTTTTTTAAAAACTTTTGAGATTTTGCTTAATTATTAAATTTGTGTAGTGGATTTGTTCATTCTGCAGCCCTAACATTTTTACAGGGGAACTGCCTTTTATTTAAGCACAATAACTTTGAGTAGATGTGTAAATGGCAAAACCACCACCACTGGGGACTGTTTGCTAACTCTTCTAAAGATCATGGTGGGAAAGATGAGCATTAAGTCTCTGGACATGGTGGGGCCAGTCAGAGAGAAGGCGGATGCACACAATCTCTGAGGAGGCAAGTGCCAGCAGCTGCCCCCCTGTGGTCAACTGCTCAGTCTTTGCAATCGGCTGGGCAGACGGAGGTTTTTGCTGCTGACCCACACTGACTCCATGACAACTAAAACCAAGGACAAGCCTATGATCTTAGGTGACAGAAACAAATAACAGACAATTTAATACTTGTGCTCAGAACAGGATTACAGTGTCAGCCATAGGTGGGATCTTTTTTCTTTAAGTTTAAAGGAGACTTCTCTTAAGAACTATCAAGTGATTAAGGCTACAACATGAAAGAAAAACAATTAACAGCAAGGTAAATGTAAACATACTTTCATCTACAATCCGTCTATGCTGATTATCTTGTATCAAGCTGTACTGTTCAATAGGACAGCCAGCATCCATATGTGGCTATGCAAATTTTAATGGATTAAAATGAAATACAATTTAGAAAAGTCAATGTCACAGTTGCACTAGTTGCAGGTCAACAGCCCAGAGCTGCATACAGCTAGTTAGCCACGGTGTAGGGCAGCATGGGTGAGGAGCACAGCTCCCACTGCAGGGTGACTGGAGAGCGCTGATATCCTCCAATAGTCACTGAGCCATGTGCAGTGGCTCACACCTGTAATCCCAGTACTCAGGAGGCTGAGGTGGGAGGATGGAGAATTCGAGGCCAGTCTGGATTACATAGTGAGACCCTGTCTTAAAGAACGAACAACCCTAAACTCCAGCTATGAAGCCTGCTAGCTAAATTTGCAAATCAAGAAGATATACAGGATTCTTTTTTCTTTTTTTTGGCAGTACTGGATTTTGAACTCAGGGCCTCGAGTTTGCTAAATAAAAAGGTACTCTACAACTTGAGCCATGCCCCCAGCCCATTTTGCATTGTTATTTTTCAGACAGGATCTTAAGTTTTTGCTCAGAACTGGCCTAATAAGACTATAATCCTCCTACCTACAGCCTCCTGCATAGCTGGGATCACAGGGGCACACCACTATGTCCAGTTTCTTGACTGAGATGGTGTCTTGCTCCCTTTTTGTCCTAGCTGGCCTTGAATGGAAATTCTCCCTCTGGAGTAGCCGGGACCACAGGACTGAGCACATGCCCAGTCCCAGAATATAATCTTATGAAAAAGATAATTGGACAAAATTAAAATCTCAAGGTAAGATTCAAAAAGAGCATGATGTCAATTTAAAACAGGCCTTTCCTGAACCTGATTTTAAATCCAGATGCCAATTAAATTTCTCAAGTAGTTCAAAAAATAATCTGGTCCATTAAATACTATTCAGAATTCAAATTTATGAAAACACAATAGATCACATTAATAATTACTATATCAACTGTATCTGCATCAGAAAGACCCAAGGAAAAGAAAAGAAAGGAAGCCAACTAGAATCAATGTCAGATGAGCCTTCCATATCTCTGAGGGTGACAGGACCCTGCTCTGCCATGGTAATTTGTTTGAACAACAGTGGGAAGGAAAACAGCCCTCCAGCTGCACTAGTATGCTACCTGGCACTTTTACCAGCAAACTGCTTTGCTTATGAGTTCAAAAAATTTTGCGTGATAAACTCAGTAATTCTACGTTACTGAAACTCTTCACATGTTGGTGAACTCACCTCTAAGTCAGTTCCTGCCAGAGTGGCCCCTCTGAGGTTACAGTTCTTCAACTTCGCATTTTTCAAGGTGGCAACTCTCAGGTTAATTCCTGTCATCTGACTTCCCTCCATGTCCACACCTTTCAGATTAGCACCTATGAGAAACAGATTTTGAGAGTAGCTTAAACTTAAAAATACTTAGGTTATATACCTGTAATAAAACTACAATATGGCTTATTGACTTAATGGAGGTTATCCTGTAACTTTGGGAAATGAACCTGAAATCTCAAGTTTCTCAACCACCATTGACAATTTATTTAGGGTATAAATTAAGAAACTTAGGCTGGAGGTGTGGCTAAAGTGGGAGAGAGCCTACCTAGTAAGAGTGGGTCCTGAGATCAAACCCCAGTACAACCAAAAAATAAAATAAATAAAATGTTGATTTTCCAACTAAAGCCTCATTAAATATTCAAACCTTTACCTCTCTGAGTCCTCAATATTGATTAGCTATGATCAAGGCCAAAGAAGCATCTTAACCCTTTGCAAGCCCTCTGAATATGATGGCAGAGGAAGCCTAGCCCCCAAAGTCATACTGCCTTACCATTAACAATTACTTTGCTGGACTTTTTATATTATGGTCTGCTTTCACCATAGAATACGTGTTCACACACAGGATCTCACCTTCTAAGTTGGCTTTAAGACCAGAAGGATCCTCAAAATTACACAGCTTCAGGGATGCACCTTCTGCATTAGAACAGAGCATCTTGACTCCTTGCAGATTTGCACACTGCAAAGAAATAGTCCTCGTTTGAAGGTTCATAATTGTCCCATTTGGAGTAAATAATAAGAGGAAAAAAACAGTAAAGGGAGGAAAGGGCCCCCATTCAACAAACATGCATGCACTCAATTATCTTCCATTTACATTAAAGACTTTTAATAGAAACCAAGAAGAATTAAAGAACTTTTTTTTTTTTAAGTTCTGTTGGAGGAACTATTTTAGACACTGGGGACATGGCAGCTCAAGTGGTAGAGAGCTTACCTAGCAAATGCAAGGCCCTGAATTCGATCCCCAGCACTACAAGGTTTGTCTTAGAAGAAACAAACACCAACAGCCTGCCCACTTCACTGAAACACAGGGGAATTCCTGTTCTTATAAATAGCTCCAGGCATGACAGTAGTGAGAGTCAAAATGAATGGGTAAAGAAGTCAAAACTCACTAGAGGTATGGATTGCCTCTTCCTTATCACTGCAGCAATCAATCAATAAAAATCCTTTATGTCCCAAGAGGCTAGCACCACTTCCTTTTCAAAGGCCAGAATACTAATTCCAGCAATTATAAGGCATCATTTAGCTACAAAAGCACTAACAAGTGACCTGTCAGGTCCTTCTGTGCTGACCACTGCTGCAGGACCTTGTCAAACCTGAGCACCACTGTGCATAATGTAGAGGAGTAAAGAGTCAGAAAGCACATGTCTAAGTTTTAAATTGTTAATTTAACTCAATGGGTTCAATTCCTCAGAATTCAGAGTTCAGAACTCTCAGAAGCTTATCTGTAAAGTTGATGCTAACATTAGACATTCACCAATTGTGACAATCAAAGCAGAAGCTAAATGTGAAAGTGTTTTAAAAACCGTAAGTCATGCCAGGGTCAGTGGCTCACACCTGTAATCCTAGCTACCCAGGAGGCAGAGATCAGGAGGACTGCGGTTTGAAACTACCCTGGGCAAATAGTTCTCGAGACTCTATCTTGAAAATACCACCACAGTAAAGGGCTGGCAGAGTGGCTCAAGGGGAAGGCCCTGAGTTCAAGCCCCAGTACCACACACACACACACACACACACCCCAAAAAAAACTGTAAGGTGTCATGTGAATGATAATTGAACTTCTCTAAGATCATAAGGCTGGCTAGGCACTGAAGACTCATTCACACCTGTAATCCTAGCTACTTGGGAGGCTGGGATCGGGAGGATCACAGTTTGAGGACAGCAAATAGTTTGCAAGACCCCATCTCCAAAAAGGCACAGAAAAATGCACTAGAAGTATGGTTCAAGCAGTAGAACACCTGCCTTGCAAGCATGAAGCCCCGAGGTCAAGCCCTAGCTCCACCAAAAATAAAATAAAATCATAAGGCTGATTAAGTTATGCATAGCCATTGCTATCAAGAAAAATTCTTGTTTTATAGGTAAAATTTCAGCCTACAGTCAATTCTAGTAAGAGGGTGATGAGACAGAGACTATTCCAATGACAGGAAATTGATAAACACTTGCTTATTCCTGTCTATGCTGGTGTCTTAACATAAGTAGTGCAGAGCTCTGATTAGATAGGTAGAATAAGGACCTGGAAAGACCAAAATAACTAAAGATGATTGGATTTTATGTACTTGAAAATATAACAAGACAGGAAGTTGATATATGCAAATAAATGTCTCTGATTCTCTAATGCTCTTAAGTAAAACACACTGTAAATATTGTCAAAAGTTATGAAGTACCTTTCTATACTCAGGGCTGCACTATGGAATATCATAAGGAGGCAAATATATGAGAAACTGCAGTGACATTTTTCTATCTAACCATGTAAAGGATCCACCCCCTCTTCACAAAACAGGAAAGTGGTCGCTAATGCTGAGATTGGAGAACTGCCAGCATTTTGATAGGAGCAGTAGGTTATTAGTGCTATTTTTAAAGAATAATGGTATTGCACTTTGAAAACGGTTCTTATCTCTAAGAGATAAAAAGCATTTATAGATTAATAACCCTATCAGTTCTTACCACTATCTCTTACCAGTTCATAAACCTTGCAAATATGCAATGGAGAGGTAAGTGCTGAGTTATCAATAACAGTTTCTCCATGGCTGGCTACATAGAAGCCATCTGCAGCATGCCAACAGAATAGATAGAGGCATAGCCACGGGCTGCGTGACAGTGACAGAAACGGGGACTGTCTCGGTTTACAGAAGTAAAGAATTCCTATAGAAAGGTTTCATAAGCCATGAAGCAAGGTTATAAACTGAGTGAGCAGTTCAGAAAGAGGGGTGGAGCATTCTACGTGGCAGAATTCTTAGCACGCATCATGTTTTGTGGATGCTGAAGGACCCATCGCTATTGGTCAGCAGCCATCTTCAAGTGCCAAGGACAATGCGACATTCGTCCTGACTCTCACAGCTTAGACACTCTGGGCAACAGAACTTCAGTACGAGCCGAGTTTCATCATTAACAGTTAACCGTACCGTCCTCTAACGCCTCAGCTTATCAACGCGTTTGAGATATACATAGCCTGCACATCAGCTGTATGAAAAGAACAGGACAAGAACTACAAGCCCTACTTTACAGGGAAAATTATAGTGTTACTGTGAACCTGAGCCACAATTGAACAGAACTGAAACCCAGCTTCTGACTCTGAATGATCTAGTCTGTCTTACCTCTTTTTATCCCTAACAAAAACCAAGTCATCTCTCAACAGTTTACTACAGACTAAGCTCTTCAAAGTTATTCTTTGTGCTATTAGTCTTTTGCCTATTTTGCTACTGACTTGACCCTATGATATAAATGTATACTGGCAGATTTTATTTAGTAGATCTGATATAAAGCTTCATGGAAAACAGGCTGCAACTGAGGAATAAAACCAAAATTAAAATAACTCAGTAAGTGACTATCAAAAACATGATACTACACTACTTGTGGTTAATTCAAGACATACAGACTTGGGCCTTGGTTTTAAGGCACTTAAAGATACTGTTTCTGCATATGTCCTTTAGCCCCAAATTAACATGGATAATTGTTGCACACATACATACATATGTGTCTATATATGTACATGCAAATACATATACATAGGTACCCAATACAGATGCACAGAAAGAACACCACTGAAATGCTACTTTCCATGTTTATTTCAAAATATTTCTGCCTAATATTTCAAGAGGAATCATAGTTTTTCATTCCAGAAATGAGGCTGAATACATTTCGCAAGCTCTTTTCAGCTTTGCATTTATAATTTATAGAATATACCATTTCTGATCAATTTCGCACACTGTTCAGACATCAAGGCCTAATTTCAAGATTTAACTTCTTATTAGTTGCTAAACCTTCCAGGTCTATGTTTCATAAAGGTATAAAAGTTGCAAAGCCAACCCATTTCACTTTTAGATCCTCCAGTTTCATTGCTGTTTTCAAGTCAAGCTCCAAAAAGAAAGACAGGTGTAATTCCTACTCTTTGAGACTGCTCAATAGCCTAAACTTTTAATTTTCCTCCTAACCAAAAATGATTCTTACGTCAAGCACTGATCCAGAAAGATCGGCTCGTTCAAGGTTTGCACAGCAGAGATTCGCATGTGCCAGGTTGCAGCGGCTTAAATTGGCCATTTTGAAGTTAATGTATCGAAGGTCCAAACGAGAAAGATCAGCACCACTGAAGTTTAAACCCTGAAATTAACAACACACACTGTCATAATGTTTAAACCATCTGCATGAATTGAATTTAATTACTATAGTTAAGCACAAAGTTTTTAGAAGCAATTACTGGTTCAGTCACTGGAGTTTATTACAAAACATGAGCAAGTGGAATTCAGACACATGAAATATGTGCCTTAACGGGTATCTCATGAAAGAGGCTGCATCTAGCCATACATTAACACATAGCCTGACTACCCTTCATTTACTTGTGGAGGTTACTAAAGAGGGAGCCCTATTAGTCACACACCTGCTGGTAAGTGCTATTTTGGCTAATATTGATTATAATTAAATTATTTCATTAATTCAAGAAATCAATTAAGAAAAAATGGTATTGTGGCTTTCAAAATTTGTAATGTTGAATACACAAAAGTAAAATTAACCATACATAGAACTGTGCAAATACTTTTTTAAAAGTGTTTCAATTTTCAAATATTACTGCTACACCAGGCATAATTAGACAATAAAAAAAAGGTGGGGGGGGCTAATGCATCTCTTTTAGGTTAACCATTTTAAAAGTAAATCAATACTATGGCCCATAATTAAATTATATCTCATGAAAAATGAAAATAAGGCAAAAACAAAACAAAAACCCCTAGAAAGATATAAAGACATGCACAGACTTGCTGATGTAAATAAGTAATGTAAAAGCGCTTTGATCACCTGACACCGCAATTCTGACTTGGTTGGAGTTGCAAGCAGAAACCGAACAAATTCCTTTCGAGATATTGGTGAATGATCCTCCGGTGGTTGGGAGTTCTTGAAAAAAGATACTTAAAAGTAAGTGGGGCTTTTTGGAAGACACCTGCGATAAATATAATATTACAAGGTAAGAAGCATCCTTACCTTTATCGCCACTTCTAGGTGTTCAATCAAGGAGTCGATGCCAAAAAACCTAGCTTCCTCTAACACACCTATCAGAAGAATAAGAATGTGACTTTCACAAACAGCAATTCATTTTGGTATCTGTAGAATTCCTTCTTTTCTTTTTTTTGGCAACACTGGGGTTTGAACTGAAGACCTTGTGCTTGCTAGGCTGGACTCTACCACTTGAGCTACACACCCAGCCTCTAGAATTCTTTATGTTAAATTCTCACAATGGAATGAAATTCAACAACAGGCTCTCAGTTAATAGCAGACAAGTAATCATTAGATTACAATATATAGAATATTGAAAAATATCTGTGAAACAGGGATTCTACAAAGGAAAAAACAGAAAACTAATAAATTAGAAACAAAAGCCTTCCATGTTGCAAAATTATTTCTGATAATTATTTTAGGCCACAAGCAAGAAACTGCAACACCACATATTCCCGAAATAACTGATTTGGTGATTTCAATAGGAATCCAATAAAAAATGATCAGTTCATTTCATCTACTTTTTTAATGGAGTGAATCTGATTAGGTTTGCCATAAATATCTTTTACATTACTGAATCAGAAAATGCTAGAAATGAATAAAAGTTTAAGTCAGCTTCACAACAAAAGTCAAAAGTATAATTCAGAAACTTTCTTATAGCAGAATCACATTTTAAAACTTGTAAATGATAAAAGGGATTTTCTCTCTCACTTGTTTTCCGTAACCTGCACGTCCTTTCAGTGACTTGGCATGGTTACTGTCCCTCATTAGGGTGTGTGGGATAAATCTGGAATCTACCATCTTTCAAATAAGGACTCACCACTCAGTTGGCTGAGTCTACTTGGTAAAAAAACTAAGAGACACAGCCCCTTCCTTCATCAGTTCTAAGCTACTAAGAAAATCAGAAGCAGTTTTTTTTTTTTTCCTTTTTCCTATTTTGGAGGCACTGGGGAAATACTCAGGGCCTCGTGTGTGCTAGCCAAGCACCTTACCTCTGAGCTGCTCCTCCTCACAAGCAGTTATTTGGGAAGAAGAAAAATCATTTTTTTTTTTTTGGTGATACTGGGATTTGAACTCAGGGTCTCACACTTGCTAGAAAGTGCTCTGCTACTTGAACCATATCCCTCAACACTTTTTATTTTAGTTTTTTTTTCAGGTAGGCTCTTGTGCTTTTTGCCCAGGCTGGCCCTGGACCATGATTCTTAGACCTTTACTTCCTGTATAGATGCATTACAGATGGAAACCACCAGGCCCAATTTGATTTTGAGATAAGGTCTTGCCTTTTTTTCTTCCCATGCTGGCTTCAAACTACCATCTTTCTATCTTCAGCTCTTGCATGGCTGGGATTACAGACATGAGCACCACACCTGGTCCTAAAAATGATATTTCTGTGAAAACCAAATTCTACCTCCAATCATCCAATTGCAAAACAAAGGTCATTAATGGGCAGAACACCACTCAGGAAGTCACCCTGGCACATGCTTTCCTGTCTACACCAGAGGACCCCACCTCTGCAATCCTCCTCAAATGCAGCCATGGGAGGGATCTGCCTATGTAGGAACCCAACAAAAGAAGTTCTGTTGGGGCCTGCTCTCAGTACACCAAGATCTTCTGGATAAATCGGAAACTCTGGAGAATGTGGTATGGATGCTATTCTAATTGTAGCTGTAGAATTAACCTTGAAACTTCCAGAAAAACTTTTTAAATACAAAAACCATATATGGACAGTTGAGGAAAGGAAGTAATATTTAGTGTATTTTCTGTTAGCATCAGTAACACCTGGAATTGAATCTCAGCTCTGCTACCCACTACATTTTTGGTCTCAGAGAAATTACTGTAGATTATTTGAAAGCATTTATTTGATGCAATTTGTAGGCAATGTAAAGTTTGGATGGAAGTTGTACTAATTAAAACCTGTGCTTTACAAAATGAATCCAGCAGAGTTCTGACTGGTGAATAAGTGAATACATAAAGAGAAATGGTTGAGAAACATGAAAAAGGAAACATAAGCAAATTTGGGGAACAACTTGGAATACAGAGGTCTGAGGTAGCACAGACATCTATGTCTGCTGTTTACAGGATATAAAATTCAACTCATGATACAAGGCAAAATTAAAACAGAAAAAAGCAAAGAACCCAGCAAACACTGGGTTTAAAACATGCCCAGGAGAACAGAATGGCCAGCAGAGTGAAAAGCTGCAAAGTGATGCAGGTGCAGATGCTGAAAAGAAAAGACTGTGTATATACAACATGGACCACTGTTGTTTTGGTTTTTTATTGTTGTTTTTTGGCAATACTGAGGTTTGAGCTCAGGGCCTCATGCTTGCTAGGCAGGCGCTGTATTACTTGAGCCACTCCACCAGTCCACTGGCTGTCTTCATAAGTATAATTTATAATTTCTGCAGAATGTCTATAACAACAACAAAAAAAAAAAAACCACACCCAAACAGGCTGTAAAGGATTTAAAGCAATAGTTGGGCTGGCATGGTGGCCCACACCAGCACTTGGAAGACAGGAGGATTTCAACTTCAAGGCCAGTCTGGGCTATACATTGAGAACCTGTCTTTAAAAAAAGAGCTTATACAAATCAAGTTAGGAACAGTTATGGAATAACTGTGTCTGTCAGGTATTTGGTTACATCCATGCCAAAGCAGCCAACAAAGCTGAGTAGTCATGTGACCCCAAAATCACTAAACTCAACACCATTCTGTAAGACTACCATCGGTGCAGGGTCAGTCACTTGGGAGGTGCTATGGCTTGGATGTTGAATAACCCTCAAAGGTCCACATGGAAAGATTTGGTCCCAAGGGTGGTGGTATGGGGAAGCCCAATGGGAGGTCCTTAAGTCACTGGGGACATGCCCTAAAAAGAGATTCTGTCTGCTCAGGTTCAAGATGTGACCAAGTGCTCCTACATCTTGCCATGATGTGTCACCATCTGCCACCCTCACCTGAGGTTAAATCAATTATGATCCATCTAATCTTGTAGTTTAAACATTCAAAACTTTGAGTTAAACAAACCTTTTCTGCCTCAGGTATTTTGTTGTAGTAATACAAAGCTTACTAATGCAGAGAAGTATAAGATTTTAACTGTGTAATCACTACTTTATAATTGCTTTTTTCTACACTATCTCCATGAACCATCACAAAAATCTTATGATGTAGGTAGGGATGAGAAAATTTTGGAAGGGGGGAGAAATGACCCAAACATTGTATGCTATTATGAATAAAATAAAAATAAAAAGAAAATTTTAATACTCATTTTTTAAAAGGTACTCAGAGAGCATTTTCTCAAGTTAATTTTCTACTAAATTATAGAATTGAGACTCCACTCTAATCTTATGATTCAAAAGTATCTTTTCTCCTTCTGACCACTCTATTTATTTTTCAACACAATAAGACCTATAACTTAAAGCCAAGCCACAGTCATAATTTAACTCACAAAAACAAAACAAAACTCTTTAAAGTCCTTTGTGAGGTGGGCACTGGTGGCTCTTGTCTGTAATCTTAGCTAGTTGGGAGGCTTAGATAGGGAGGATCACAGTTCAAAAGGCCAGCCTGAGCAAATAGTTCTTGAGACCCCCATCTCCAAAATAACCAGACCAAAATGGACTTGGAGGTATGGTTTAAGCAGTAGAGTGACTCCTTTGCAAGTGCAAAGCCATAAGTTCAAACCCCAGTCTTACCAAAAAAAAAAAAAAGTTCTTTGTGATAGAATTTTAATCTACTTAGAATCTAAAATAAAAATTCATGGGTTAGACATACATCCATATATACAAAGACTATAGACCTGAAAGACTAGCCATCTACCTGTGCCAATATCTACTCCTGTACCTGTACAGACCACGTGTGAAAAACTTACCCAGTAAGTTAATGCCATCATTTACAATGAGCTGTCCATGACGCAAGTAGTTCAAAATGGGCTCAAAGTACTCAGGACTTCGATCAATTAAGAAAGCTCCTCTATGGTCTTGCTTATTTCCCCAGACACCTGTGTTACCATTATAATGAAGAAAAACCCCCAGATACAAAAAATAAAGTTAGAATTTATGTGAGAAAACTGTTTAATACACAAGCAACTTTGTACTCCTGTAAAAATCACTTCACTCCACTAAAAAGTACAGGTCAAGAATGGATTAAGAAAATGTGGTATCTATACACAATGGAATTCTATGCAGCCATGAAGAAGAACAAAATGTTATCATTCGCTGCTAAATGGATGGAATTGGAGAACATCATTCTGAGTGAGGTTAGCCTGGCCCAAAAGACCAAAAATCGTATGTTCTCCCTCATATGTGGACATTAGATCAAGGGCAAACACAACAAGGGGATTGGACTATGAGCACATGATAAAAGCGAGAGCACACAAGGGAGGGGTGAGGATAGGTAAGACACTTAAAAAATTAGCTAGCATTTGTTGCCTTCAACGCAGAGAAACTAAAGCAGATACCTTAAAAGCAACTGAGGCCAATAGGAAAAGGGGAACAGGTACTAGAGAAAAGGTTAGTTCAAGAAGAATTAACCTAGAATGTAACACCCACACACAGGAAATCAATGTGAGTCAATGCCCTGTATAGCTATCCTTATCTCAACCAGCAAAAACCCTTGTTCCTTCCTATTATTGCTTATACTCTCTCTACAAAAAAATTAGAAATAAGGGCAAAATAGTTTCTGCTGGGTATTGAGGTGGGGGGAGAGGAAGGGGGCGGAGTGGGTGGTAAGGGGGGGGGCAGGGGGGAGAAATGAACCAAGCCTTGTATGCACATATGAATAATAAAAGAAAAAGAAAAAAAATAAATAAAAGAAAAGTTTTGTTTTACATGAAAAAAAAAAAGTACAGGTCAAGCGTTACAAAATCAACACAGACACAGATGACACGAGACGTGAAAGCAACATGGCACACTCACCTTTATCCTTGAACATGTGCGCCAGCATGCTGTCAGGTTCTTTATTCACTAAAGTGCTCCTAAGAATTCAGGGAAAAAAATTCATTTCTCCATGTGTCTTTATAAACAAACATATTTAAGTCAAGAGTATACTCGATTTCAGCTGTTCTCTCAAAAAGATGCATGCTATCACCCGGTAGGAGTAACACTGGGAAACAAAAATGTGCAATAAGTTGCCATTTATCAAAAATCCTTTTAATCTGGCACTTCCTTTGCGCTAAATACTGTTTTAGCTTCTTTTACTATAAATACTAATGTAAACTTCTAGCAAGATATTGTATCACAATATTCATTATCTTATATTTTCCTGATCACTTTAATACAAATGAAGTCTATAAATTTCAACACTGTTCTTTTTTGTTATTGTTTTGAGACAGGGTCTGCTTGAACTCACTATGTAGCCCATGCCACCCTTGAACTCAAAATCCTTCTGCTCCCGCCTCCTAAGTGCTGGGATTATAAGCACATGGCATCACAACCAGGCTGATACTGCTAACTTTTACTTGCATTGCATATATATCACTGATACCTAGATACTGAATTTATGCTTTTCTGTGCCTTCTCTGAAATGACATGTGAAGTATGTTCTACTTATCTCTTCAAAGAACTTTCTAAGAAATGGTTTCACATCACATCTTTTAAAGAAATCAGCAAAATAAAGAACAAAAGGTACACACAAGTCCCTTTTACTCTCTTGTTCAATCTCTCTCTCTCATACACACACACACACACACACACACACACACCTACCGTGTAGTTGTAAAGTACCGCCCTCCAACGTTTAATGTTAGCCAGTCTGTGTGAGATCCAAACAATCCTTCAGGTGGCTTAGAATCTGTCTGAGGGTCTACAGATGACGTGTAGAGAACAGAAAATATATGTATTATGGCTGAAGGTCTCAGGAGAATGACAGTGGGATACTTTTTTAAACTAGGTCTACCCTATAAGAGTATCAGAGCTACTGCAACCACCCATCAGCAGCATCTATAGAGCCAACTAGGTGATGAGGTTTTCCTGCCAACTCCCACAGCTCAAAACACATGTTATCACATCAATGAAGGAAAAAGCAGAGAGAAGTTAACTGTGATGAACTCAAGAATTCCAAAGTGATCTGTGGGTGCCAACTTCATAGCTCAACAAATGATAAGGAGAGAGACATGCCCACTCACCAAGTGGTGATGCGAGTGGTTTGTAGAGAGATCTCCAAGGGTTGGAAATGATCTCACAAAACCAACTAACCAATCTCCCTTATGAGGACAAAGCCCCATGTGATGACAAGACACTGGAGAAGGAATCCAAGTTGAACAAAACGAAGAGAGTCCACATAAAAATTAAGAAGGCGTGATGAAGCAGAATATATCAGAAAATGAATACTATATTACTTAATACTCACAAAAACTACAGAAAAGGGAAGTGTAGAGTCATGAAATTAGAAAACATTTCCCAAGTCAGCCCTCCCTTTTCAAGTGAAGAGCTGATTTCATGTGAAAATGAGCAGCAAGAAAGCATTGAAAGCAAATCCATACAAAACTATTAGAAAAGAATCACATCCCTAGCGACAATGAAAACATATAAGAAATACCCATAAAACAGATTAAAAACCGTATCTTAATATTCCAAAACATGCTAAAAGAGATAAGTAATACAAAGTATGAAATGACAACATAAACCAGAATTATGAAATTCAGAAATGAGGTGACAAACTCCAGAGAGAATTAAAAATCAAAGAAAAACCATTTAGAAATGAAGCCTAAATGAGAAGAAACACGAGACTAAATAAACCCAACAGATAACATCTGAAAGGAAATAAAAGATAAAAAAAGAAAGAACATTAAAAATCAAAAAGAAATAAAGATGCAAAAGGATTTATAACAGAAGATTTCAAATGTAAAAGATAAGTGTAGAAGATCCAACATAAACACATACAACAGAAATCCTGAAGGAACAAAATTAAAGCAGGAAGACAAAAATATGTAATTTAAAGTTAAGAAAGCGTATCTGAAATTTCAAATATACATATTTGAAAATACATATTGAAAAGGACACACCATATACTGAGAAGATCAACCCAGAACTGAGAGAAAGAAAATCCTTTGAGTGAAATAGGAAAAATAATCACTTAAGAAAAATCAAAAAATTTTCTTTTGGCGGTACTGAGGGTTGAACTTAGGGTCTTGCGATTGCACTACCACTTGAAACACTCCACCCAGCCCTTTTTGTGTTTGTTATTTTTGAAATAGGATTTCACTTTATGCCCAGGCAGGCCTGGACCTCAATCCTATTTGTGCTTCCCTGAAAAACTGGGATGACAGGGTAACCCCCACACACAGCCACTGGTTGAGATTGGGCCTTGGGAACATTTTGCCTGGGCTGACCTTGAACCACGATCCTTTCTCTCTCCACCTTCCAGGTAGCTAGGATTACAGGCTTGAGCCACTGCACCCAGAGAGATGAAAATTTTTAATACAATCCTATGCCAGAATAAGATGGAATAACATATGTAAGGTATTCAAATAAAGAAAATGTAAACTGAGGATTTTTCAATAACTTTACTGAGGTGTTAAGTGACACAACATAAACTACACATGTTTGGTTACCTTTGACACAATTCTGTATCTGACTTGCAATTACAGAAGCCACAAACATGTAAGATGTCAAAGAACAGTGTTCTCATAAACTCTGTAATGAATCTACCAGAAAACAAGTGTCAGACACCACTGGGAACATCAGCGTAAAGATTAGAGGTAAGCATTAAATACACTTGAAATAAAATTAAATGAGGGTTTTCAGGGAGAGAGTATAGTATAAAATGGCTTTATGCCCTGACAATGTACAAATATCACTATTTTTAACAAGAGGAGAAAGAAATGAGCAAATATAAGAAGAATGTAGAGCTGTTTTTATTGACCATATAGATACTGAAAATGTTAATTACTCCTGTTAATTTTATATTGTTTTTGTGTGAGATGAAGTGAATGATAATGTGGAATTATAATTCTGACATCCCTGTATTCCCAAAACTCAGGATTACTGACATGCAGGACACAAAGATGTAAAACTGAAGAATTTGCCTCACACCAATGGCTTATGCCTGTAACCCCGGCTACTTGGGAGGCTGAGATTGGGAGGATCACAGTTTCAGTCCAGGCAAACAGTTTGCAAGTCCTCTCTCCACAATAAACAGAACAAAAGGGACTGGAAGTGTGGCTCAAGCAGTAGAGTGCCTGCATTGCAAAGGCAAAGCCCTGAGTTTAAACCCCAGTCCCATCAAAATAAATAAGTTAAAATAAAGACTGAAGAAGTAAAAACCCTATGTGTAAACTGGAAGTATTAGTATAAATCCATGAGATGTTTTATCTATCTACATTTATGTCATATAACATCCAAACTTTAGAAAATCTTTTAAGACATATGTAAACTTTCTCTAGCTAGCTAGTACTTCCACGTCTAGCCATCATGAAGGCCTAGTAACAACTATGAACTCAGTGGAAAAGAGCTATTCTAGCACCCAGATTGAATCTTGAAATGAAGACATAAAGTTTTGAAAATAATGTTGATCCAGGTCTGTGATGGGAAGAGGATAAGATGAAGACATCCTTATTCCAGATCTTAAAGAAGCTATAAAAGACTAATGGAGTTGCGTTAAAAAGATTTGAAAAGGTTTTGAACCTGGCCAGTGGTAAGACAATTTGAGCATCAATAAATGTAGAGGATGAAAACATACCAAATCATTTTTTTAAATTTAAGAGTTTATAGCAATAAACAAAAAGAAAATACACCCTAACAGGTTCTTTATTATTTTATTTTTGGTGGTGGGGACTGAACCCCTGGACCTCATGCTTTGCCAAGCACATGCTCGACAACTGAGCTACACCTCCGCCCAGACTTTTTTTCTTTAATAAATCACTTTTTTGTTGTTTGTATGCAATGAATCAATTACAAAACCACTGTCTGACAACTACTCTGTTAGGCCAATGAACAAAAGAAGGTGAGAAAAAGGTTTTGCTTGTTAATTTTAAGACAGAGACTGACATAAAACAATATTCACTTAATTTTAATTTGGCAACTACGTGAGCAGAGATTCTGAAAACTACCTTTACTCACCAAATACAATAAAAAATAGTTAAACATACACTCAGGGTGTGACAGTATGGTACTCGATAAATAAAATACTGTTAAAGAATATTTGCTTACTTAAGTTTTGGGCCTTTTCTTTGAAGATATTCAACTATACACACTTTGTTCTAAGTCGAAGGATAGTAGGTGTGTGTGCTTCTATGCCTGGCTGATGCCCAGTCTTTTTTGTTTGTGGTAGTGGTGCTGAAGGTTGAACTCAGGGCCTTGCATTTGCTAAGCAGGTATTCTACCAGTCACTCTGCCAGCCCTCAAGTTATTTTTTGACTAATGTGATTTTATGCCAGTAATACATGCTTATAAGTATGCTAGAAATTTTGACTATCGCTATCAAAGAGAAACTTTTAAAACAAAACAGTTTTAGTTTTTGAAATCACAACTACCCTATCATATCATGGGTATTAAATATGTACAAATCCAGAGCATAAATAGGCATGACAAAGAGGCAGCCCTACCAAACTGTGATCATACAATTTGAGTTAAAAATGTACTTTAACATACACACCCAGTGCAGAATCAAAGGGTGCAGATTCTTTTTAATGTTAAGCTTTATTACTCTTTGTAAAACATTTACCATTTCATTTTTTTTTTATTTTGGCAAACAAAATTGGTTTTTAAGAAAGTCACTTACCAATAAATGGCTCTCCTTCACACACAAACAAAACATCATCATCCCTGAGAAAACCAAAATTTAAAAAAGCATCATCAAAATCTAGAAATCTCATTACCTGTCAGTTTACTATAGGGAGTATTCCTCAGAATCATGTAGAAGACAGGTTTTGCTATCCGTCTATCTGCAAAGAAGCTCTACATTCAGTGCTTTGTTTTTACCCCATGATTTAATGTCTCTAGATTTAAATTCAAATAAGATCAAACTTTTGAAATGGAAAAACAAAACAAAATTCACTAAGAAATGTGAATTTGGCTTTCTTAGCAATTGAAGAATGTACTATTATGCTTAAAGGATATGATTAAAGCCAGACCCAATCTCTTAATTTTATATTAATTCTTTACCTGTAAATAAACTATAGGAATTCTCTTCTAAATCATGAAAATAAATTTCCATATTAAATTCAGGAAGAACACAATTAAAAAAAATGTTATTAACACTTACCCACTATACACTGACCACACACTCTAAAAGATCACAGATAACCTATAATTCTGGATTATTCATGGACAGTCTCCTTCCCTGCTCAACACATCTCAGCATTAGTCTAGATAAATGATGAGACCTTACTCTGGACTGGAAGCAGTAAACCGGTACATATTAAATTGCTTTCAAGGCTTCCCATGTATCACTCTAGGCTATGTAAATTCTTATATGACATTGTAGCAACACATTTGAGGGTTTTTTTAGAAGCAAAATCTGCTTTTGAGGCTGGTGTTGTTGCTCAAGTGGTAGAGTGCCTGCCTAGCAAGTATGAGGCCCTGAGTTCAAACCCGAGTACTGCCAAAAAAAAAGGAAGAAAGAAATCAGGTTGATTGAATGCTCCACAGAAATGGAAAGATAAGCTGGGAGACAGATATTGACAAACTAAGTCTAATTTATTTAGATTTCAAATACACTTAAAAATTTTCCCCCAATGGCAGTTAACTTTTTTAGATTAGATAAAAGTTCTTTTTCATTAGCAAAAATAAGTAGTAAACTCTACGACTTGGCCAAGTCCTTTTATTCCTCCATGTCATTGTTCGTAACTGAAAGGACTGGAACCAATTAACTGCAAAGGTAGTGTATTACAATGAGAGGTCACTCTGCCCTGGATCTAAACAGACGTTAATCTTTGTACACAGCTGTAATTTAGAGCTTCATTATCTTCACACCATCAATTTTAAAAACTCACACTTTGCCAATTAAATAACCCAGGCAAAGAACTACAACATAACTGGCCACAGTACTGAATTTCTGTTCCATTCACCATCTTTTCTGTTAAATGGCTTCCTGCTCTAAAATTCTCTGACCTTTGGGGAGGGAGTAAATTTCTCATAGCCATATGTGAACTATGCAGAAAGACCACGAAATATACTAAAGGTTCTCTATCTGATCAATATAATTTAAGTTCAAATGATTTAAATTCCGAACAGCTAATTCTAGATGATCACGTGCCAAAGCCCCTTGTTGTGATGAAATTCCAGTTAAGGGAAACAGCCTAACACCAAGGGGCCAAGGACACAGTGTGACAGCTTATAAAAAAGTGAAGTTACCTGATCAAAGCGATGTCATCAATCAGCCCACCTTTCCCATTATACACACTGGTGGCTTTTATGCCGAGTTTATTACTGGCCACAGAAAGTAAATCAGATAAAGTTCCATATACAGCAACCACCTGTAAACACACCAGATTAAGTTAAACAATTTAGACAATGAATTTCATCACCCACAAATTACAAACCATCACACTATAAACATGACTAGAAATCAATTAGCATGTAAGCGATTTCAACAGGTTCTTAACAGAACCCCTGTGACTCATACATTTATTTTGGTGCCTCAGTCTGTAAAAATCCCAAAGTAGAGAAAAAGAATCACTGCGAACCCAAAACAACCTATAGACTTAAGATTCAACTCTACACTTTTGTTGCTTTAACTTAATAATGAAGAAAACAGTCCTCTGCTCACCAGTGAATGAACAGAGTAGACACATTTTTAATTAAATAAGTGAAATGAACAGCAGGGCCAGGAGGGAGCTGCTGGCTAACAGACTAGTGCACAGAGCACTCAGATCCCCCATTTTTCTCTCAATCTAAAGGATCCCAAAGAGTGTTGCAAGCTGGGGCATTCTGAGAAAGGCTGAAGGCAAGCACAATTTAGAGGGAACCAGGTGGATTATAAAAAAATAACACACAACCCAAGTGTCCATAAGTAGACAAGTAGATAACCAAAATGTGGTATGCGTACACAATGGAATATTATTCAGATATAGAAAGGAATGAAATTCTGACCTATACTACAACATGGATAAGCCCTGAAAATAGTGTGCTAAGTGAAATAAGTTAACACATAAAAGGACAAATATTACATGATATCAATAACATGAAGACACTTAGAACGGGCAGATTCATACAGGTCAGTAATGGGGGCAGAATGCAAATGGAGTTTTGCCTAATACACAGTTTCTACTTGGGGTGATGACGAAGTTCTGTAAACAGATGGTGGTGATGGTCACACACACTGGGAATGTCCTTAGTGCTGATGAATCACACCCTTAAAAATGGATAAAATGGTTAACTGTTATGTATATTTTATCATGACAGAAATAAGGCAAAGTGCTTGGCATAGTACCTTGCACACAGCAAGTCCACCATGAATAACTGAAGCCTGAAAATATGGACCCCATATTTCCTAAAACATTTCACCTCTCCGTTAGAGCCTGGAATCTCGTTATGCATGTACACACAGTACAAATACAGTGCATAGGGCATTGCGAACAGCAAATCTGGTTGTGTCAAGGTAACGAGCGTGGAGGGAGTAAAGGGACAAAAAAGTAGAATGCAAGGGGGCAAAGATTGCCAAAGCAGACTCGAAATTACTTTGATAGGAAGGTGCTAGGAGGGAGGGTAAGAAGCTCCAGCTCTCAACACCCAGGTTCTTGTGGCATCTATTCTTTTGTCACGGTTGCTTTATACTAAGAATTTGCTAAGTCTTTCTGTTCCTCCTCTAATTTATCTCTGCCTCCTACATGGCTTCCTTTTGCCTGGTTCTATCTTCTCCTTGCCCTAACTTCAGCTTTCTCACTCAGCAATTCTTTCACTTCTCTCTTTTGGCCAGACCATAAAAAGAATGCAAGATTAATGTCTCTATATATGTTAAGCTCCTATGCTTAATTTAAAAATACCTTATTTTATATGACTCGTTTTTCAAAATACATCAAATTAAACTTGCACATGATTGAATTGGTTTTCCTGTACACTGTCTTCTAATGAAAGGGCACTTACCATTTTCTAATGCTGCACTTGTCCAATGTGGAAGCCGCTAACTACATGAGGATATTTACATTTTAATATACTAAAATCAATTAAAAGTTAAAATGCAGTCCATTAGTCACAACAGTCTTATTTCAAGTGCTCAACTGTTTCACCAGCTAGTGTTCCCATATTCAACAGCACAGATATGAAATACTTCCCTCATCATCCACGAACGTGTTGTCTTCTAAAGAGGCAGAATAAAACAAAGAAAACATCTATTTTAATTCTATAGGCTTTCCCATGAGTAGCAACCAACAGAAAACAAGCTGAGGAGGGGTTACTGCCTCTTCCCTTTCTTCTCTATGAAGTCAAATCTGACTATGTGATGGATGTTCCCTCCTCCCCCAAAACAGACAGACAGACAGACAGACAGACACACAACACACACCACACACACAGAGTTTGGCAAGCAGTTTTCTCAAGGCAGAAAACTTGGTGTTGTCTTATTTCAAGTGCTCAACTGTTTCACCAGCTAGTGTTCCCATATTCAACAGCACAGATATGAAATACTTCCCTCATCATCCACTGAACAGTGTTGTTCTAAAGAGCAGAATAAAACAAAGAAGAAACATCTATTTTAATTCTATTAGGCTTTCCCATGAGATAGCAACCAACAGAAACAAGCTGAGGAGTGGGTTACTGCCATCTTCCCTTTCTTCTCTATGAAGTCAAATCTGACTATGTGATAGGATGTTCCTCCTCCTCCCCCAATACAGACAGACAGACAGACAGACAGACACACACACACACACACACACACAGAGTTTGGCAAGCAGTTTTCTCAAGGCAGAAACTTGGTGTTTGAAGGCCAGAAAACTAAAGAGTTGAAGTATAAATTAATTTCAAAACCAAATATCATCCTAATCTTTGAAATCAAGCAAACAATTTGTAGGTTAAAACATACCTTTGTTGGTGAGTCAATTCTATTTATTTAAGTCTTTTCCACTGACAGTAAGTTGGGAAACACTGTTTATAATACAAATGCATTTCTAAAGTGATACTCGTAAAATGACTAAAAGTGGCTGTCCCTTGAATAATGTAATTGTGGCTGGTTTTGTTTTACTTACTCTTGTGAATTTATTTTACAATGAACCTGTATTACTTACACAGGAAGGGGAAAAAGTTTTAATTTATTTTAAAGTCTCCACTGCTCTTGATACTAGTTTTATAAACAAAATTTAGTAGTCAATGATCTAGCAGTTGACAATGTCTTTTAAGTAAAATAACCAAAGAATTCATTCAATTAGAAAAAAGAATAAAATAATTTGAAGAATCTATGAATTTGAAAATTTCCCTCAAGTTGGCCCAATGTACTTGTTTTTCTCTTGGAGGTTTGTTCTTGGCATTTTTTTTTTAATCTAGAATCATTCATGCATGCCAATGCTACCAAATAAATAAGGAATTATACTGCAATACTAATACGCAAAATCCCTGTACTTTATAAAATCTAACCAGAAATCAAGTTTTAAAAATATATCAATGTATCAATGGGATACACATGGGCAAGATTTTTAAGTTACTGAGAAAGAGTTTTTAACAGACTGTGCATGTACTTTTATGTCAAGAACATAAGTGCTAACTGGTTTGTGTAAACTGATTACTCTTTATTCAAAAATTCCAAAACTGCTTGAGATCAGAGATGGTTTGGATTTGGGCCTTTTTGATTTTGGAATGTTTACTCAGACTTTACTAGTATAGACATCCCTAATCTAAAAACCACTGAAATCTGAAATGTGCCAAAATCTGGATTTTAATTTTCAGATTAGGAAGGCTCAAGTTGTGCTAAGCTTATTTTAGAATTCCTACTAAATCAAAGATTGGCCAAGCATTTATAATATCATCATGCCTATAAACATTCTTTGCTTGGAGTGTGCTGTCCTCCCCAAGTGGACCTCAAGTTTCCATGTCACTGTGATTATCTACTTTGACAATGTAAGCACTAAGAATGGAGGTGTTTTGTGGTGTAAACCAAGAAGAATGCCTATTAAAACTTATGATGACAGGGCTGGAGGCGTGGCTCATTCCAAAGAGCACCTGCTTCGAAAGTGCTGCGTTCAAACCCCAGTATACCAAATAAACAAAGTCTATAATGACTGTATTATAGTACTGTTTAACTCAGTCCTTTCTAGAGTTCTAATCTCATGACAACTGAAAGCAATCTGCTAATTAGGAAAGTGACTGGTGAACCATGCTCAACATGGTTAGTTTCACTGTGTCTTTAAACAACATTTTCAAATTGTAACCTATGTTATTTAAACTTAAAAGTTAAGTCGACACATGTATTTAAAACATTTTCTTTATCCTCACAACATTATATGACACACCATCAGTAAATACTTGCATTTACACATGTTGATTTACCCAACCAAAACACCAATCACAATTTATAACCAAAATGCAGAACTCCATTTACTTTACCTGTACTTTCTGTTTAATAGTCTAAAAATTAAAATGTTTTTATTCATAAAAAAGATGGCATAACTAGTGCTAAAGTCAAGGAAATAAATACTAAAAGTTGAACATTCTAACGATACTAAGTGTTGAGAAGGACATGAACCTAGGGAAGATCTATGCATTACTGGTGGGAAGATAAACAGCCAAGAAGACTTCGAAACACAATCCAGATGAATTTACCCTAATGCCCACTAGTTACAACTACATTTGTATATCTTAGAGCACTGGTTCCCAAAGGTGTGGCCCAGTCAGCTGCAGCGTTTGAATCACCTGGAAATTAGACAGAAATGCACACATCTAATCCTACGCCAGACCTACCGGGGATGGAGTACAGGAACATGTTCTCGAGCCCTTCTCGTGGTGCTGATGCATGGACTACCGCCCTAGGGCATGCTCACCCATGTGCAGCAGGACACATGCATACATCCAAGGCAGCACTGGTAGTAACAAAATATAAACAACCAGACGCCCATTGATGGGAGAATTGATAAACTGTGGTAGTGTTGTTATATAATGGATTTCAATAAAGCAGTGAAAATGAATAAACTATGTGGAATATTATAGATGGAGGACAAGGATCATATTGAATGAACAAAATCAAGTTCAATTTGCGATAAAATATGTCTAAAAACTACCAGAACAAGAAAATACATAGTTTAGGTATAAATATATATGTAGCAAAACTGAGTAACAACAGAAAAAAAAAAAAAAAGCAAAGAAACAAGGGCTTCACACTTGATCAGCAAGTGCTCCACCACTTAAGCCACACAGCCAGTCCACACGTTGGCATTCTTTACTGCGTTCTTTTGTACATATCGCACATATTGTGAAATATTGAAGCTTAGAGTGAGCCCTTGTGGTTTCTTACTGATGTTTAAATTTTGAGAGGCTGTTCACACAGATTGTCTTTACCTTTCGTCATTCAGTTCTAATAATGTAACAAGTTCAAATCTGGGTATTTAATACCAACAATGCATTGTGACCTAATATCAAAGCCAGAAAAAAACCCAGTATTTTCTGGACCCAGAAGGTAAGCATCAACAGAGAATATCTGTTTCCTAAGCCAGTCTGCAGGGTTTGGAATGGCAGCTCACTGAGAAGGTACTTGATCTTAGTTGAATGAGTGAATGAACAAAGTATTGAAAAGGTGTATGACTGGCACAACTCCTTACTGCGTATTCTGAAGTTTAAAAAAAAAAAAAAGCAGCACCGTGTTCAAGATGTACAAGAATTTTGTTTTTGCTTCACATCAGATTGCTCAGAAACCACACACTACATGTTGGTGTCTGAATGCCCACTATTACATGAGCTATCAGAAAGAGAACAGCAGGAGCTCCGAGGCACATGGAGGGTGAGGAAAGGTGCAAGCATAACCGACCTTTCCGGAACAGTTTAAAACAACAAACCCACCCTAATTTAAAGATCACAGTTTTTTAGGATTAAGATCTCCAAATGCTTTAGTAAAACATTTTTGGACATGTGCTCCAAGATATTATTTACAAACTATGTACCACTGTCAGAAAGAATATATTTTCTCAAAAGATACAAGGACTTTTTATTTTCTTAGGCTATAAGGAATCTCTGAAATATTTATCATTCAATTTAGTGAGATTATAACAAATACAAGATTAACTTTACACATTAAGAATTAAAAACAAAAAACTCTGAGGCCATTTGTCTCCGTGTGCTGGAAAGTATTTTGAAATGTCCTCCTAATTAGGATGACCTCATCCCATCATTGGCTAATCCTTCAAAGAACAATTTATACTAGGGGAGAGGTTGACTGTTAAAGAGCAGTTACGAAGCAGTACTTCCCACAGTCTTGGCATATTTGATGTGAGGTCCAAAGATACCTTTTTATTTTTAAAACCTCATAGCTTATGCTAGTAGGAGCAGTAGCTCTGCCATTTTCTTCTTTACTTGTGCTTATGAAATTAATGCTGTTCTCTGCAGTTTCTTTGAAGCAATCTTTTAAGTCACTTCGCAAGGGTTAATTCAGCCAAATCTACATAATACAAAGCTTAGCAAAGGCACTTAGAAGCTTCTGTATATCGTAATATGCCAAAGAGAACCAATCAGTGAAGAAGCTGCTAGCTCTCGTTATCAACCTTTTCACAGAGGAAGGTCTCCATTCTCCAAGAAGACTTGGGACAGACCAGCTGACCAGTTCAGTCACTAGGGCTCCTGTGCTTTTCAGGTTAGAAAGACTAAGTGTTCGTATTATTTTATATTTTTAAGTAAAACTATAAACAATTGGTATATTTCTTTCTAAACTCCACTGATCATCTTGCACACCCTCTGTGGTGTGTCATCTCACACCAGAATGTGCAGACCTCCCTTTAACATCAGAACCACTGACCAGTTACATTTACTTGTCCACAGAAAATCGCGGTGAGCCTATGACATATGACCAGTAGAGAACTCTGTGCCTCCCCACCCACAGCGTCATGGCACATAGCCTGACAACCACTGAACAACCTAGAAGGGGGAAACTTATTTGAAAAAAAACCAATTATTTCATGACCAGAAAATAAAAATACAAACAAGGTAAATGAGGAGACGATGTAAGTGACTGGTGGACATGAAATCAAGTTCTATTCTGAGTAGCATTCTGCTTTAGTGTGTTCTGCAGGAATCATGCCAATCCTGATCAAATATATACACAAACCAGACTGCTATGGACTGTTCTGCTCTGTTGTCAAATAAGTCATTTTAATATATTTTTTAATCAGCTGAAGAGGGAAGAAACACTGACAGCTTTGGAGAATATGTTCTACACTTGAGTCCTGACAACTATGGTATTGTTTCTTTTTAATATTAAATTATATGAGTATTTTCCAGTTTGAATTTTATGATCTTTGTTAACAAACATATTTATTTATATTGATTTGAAATGAACTATTCCAGATCTCTGGGTCTGTCTAGTAAAAGATTTTTTTAAAACAAAATAAAGTTTAATCCAATTATCTTTCCCAGTCAAAATTAGAACAGCTTTTTAAAAAAATATATTAGAAATAACATGAGCCCAAGTGTGATGGTGCATGCCTGTAACGACAGCTACTCAGGAGGAAGAAACAGGAGGATCCTGGTTAAAGGCCTACCAGGGCAAAGTTAGCTGGAGACCCAATCTGAAAAACAACAAGTAAACGGGCTGGGGGCTGGCTCAAGTGGTAAAGCACCTGCAGGTGTGAAGTTGAGCTCACTCTCTAGAATAATAAAATAATAATAGTGAGAAGGAAAGACTAACTCAACCAATCTTTGATGGCAACAAATTTCAATAGGTTCAGAGGAGATGGAGAGCACAATTAAGTATTTATGACTAGGCCTAAACATTTTGTCTTTCATGGAGAACAACTGAGATGTCAGAGAAAAGGGCCAATCAGAGGTTTGCTTTTGAGGGCATAATACAGTTGTAACACTCAATATTCTAAGTGATTCTTCAGTAACAATATAAATTTTAGATTAGGAACACTAGCTAATTATAAAACGGGTTTAGAAAAAGCTAACAGTGATCAGAAATAATGAAAACTTTGGGAAGCAAGCCATTTTGCCCAGGTAGCATTCATGAATATGAAGAACTTGAATTTATGCTGACACTGTTTCGGGATGAGTATGGAATCTCTGAGACAGGCCACACAGAACTGAAGTACAGAAACCCCACTGTGGTTCAGACTTCCACTGCACGTGTACTTGGAAAGCTGTTTTGTACGCCCTTGGACAGTTTTGCTATTTAAAAGTTTACATTTCCAGAACGTGCAGCAGCAATCAAGGTATCCTGTGCACCTTACAGGGTGAGGCTCATTTGCCTTCACCTGAGTTACTTCTGGAATCTTTTAGCCACACAATACATGTCTGCCTGGAACTGTCACAATTTTCCAAAGGAGCCCAACAAACTTTCATGGGTGGGGCCATGGAAGAACCCCAAAGGAGGCTGAGAAGCAGCAGGACTCATGTGGGGCTTTATGGGAAAATATTCAGCACCACGCCCTCCGCGAAGGCCTAACCCAGCCGGGGCTGCTGTCATCCAGTCACTGTGGTCTGCGGTCAGGGTCCTCCCAGGCGAAATAAACCCAGCACAGAAGTTTGCACGCGGCGGGGCTGAGGCTGGGATACTTGGGAAAACCATCAAGCAAACATCCCAGTTTTCGATCCCTCTCCAACAGAGACTCGCCCGGGATCTGCTGGTTATTTACTTATCCACGGGAATAGGAATCCTCCTTACCCGGCCAATCTCACACTCCTGACTTGCCACCACCCTCTCCCGAGCTGACCAGTACTCAGCACCCGGGTGGACACAGGTGCCTCCTGGAGCCAGGCGAGGGGGCCGCGGGTCTTGGGGGAGGAGAGGGCAGGAGACCCGGACCCAAGAGCGCAGGTGACAGCAGCTCCCCCCCCCCACCTCCCGCGACCCCCTCCCCCGTGCTCCAGGACCTGAAAGCCGCGCATCTGCGCTGGCCCCGGGCGGCGACGGGGCCCCGGGTGCGGATCCCGGGGTCGCGAGGCCGCGGGGACCGCCGCCCCCCTCGAGCGACCCGCGGGCGCACGCCCCCTCCCGCTCCCAGACCCCAGTCCAACTTCAGCCCGGCCCCGGAGCCCCCGCCGCGCCTCCTCCCGACCCCTTACCTTTCCGTTCTTGGGGCTGCCGTTCAGGAACAGGGTCACCCGCCTCATCGCGCTGCCCCCGCCGGGTCCTGAGTGAGCCGCCACCCTCCCACCTGGCCCTCCGCCCACCTTTTTCTCCTCCCGCCCTTCCCCTCCCTCCACCCACTCGGGCTCTCCTCCCTTCGCCACCTTCCTTCTCTTAGGGACACACCACACACGCACTCTCGGTCCCACACCCCAGGGTTGGCCGGTCCTCCTTCCCACCCCGCCCCTAGGCGCCTCAGCCTGCCTTGGGCCCTTCCCCCACCTCTCCGAGACAGACACTTTGCTTCACCAATCAACTTGCGGCGTCCGCCAAGCACTCAGCCAATCATCGCCCGGCGCTTGGGCGGGTTTAGTCGGGGTGGGAGGAGGGAAGAAAGGCTGAAGGCTAGTAGACGGAAAGGAGATCAGCCAATCAGAGCAGAATCTACAGTAAACCGACCGCACCAAGCGTTTCAGAGCAGGCGCATGGTCAAGTCTAGGCAGCATTTATCTGCACATGGAGGCGGGATTTGAGGAAGGAGGTGGAGCGCTAGGAGACTCACAAGCCAGTCAGCATCTCTCTTGGTTTAACCCCTCCCACTCGCCCAACCTACCAAGGAAACGGCTGCCGTCGGGATTGGCTGTTTGGTTAAAAGCGCAAGCCCGTCGTTGTATCAGGATTGGGCCAATGACTCTTTTCGAAGTTTGCAGCCTCCAATCCAAAGTGGGAGGCGGGGCTTAGGGATAACCGAAGGGTTGCTCCGCGAGACTCTTTACGGAAAGTAGTCCCCGGGACTCAGTTTAACAGCTGGTCTCTCGGGTCAGAGCGTCGCCTACAGCTAGCTGTGCCTTCTCTCCGAGATCAGGAAGCCCTTCCTGTGCTCGAGAGCGCGAGGGAAAGGCCTGGAGAGGTCAGCGTTCGCGCTGACACGTGCCAGCGCGGGGCGTAGAGATTCGTGCGGCAACGCCTCTCCACGGAGGCGGAGCTAGTATTTGAATCTGGTGGCGGGCGGCGGGACGGGCTAGGCCACGGGGACGCCGGGGCGCAGGGGCCCAGCTCACCCGTGAGAGAGCAATTGCAGGCTTGCCGGCCCGGCACCAGCAGGTGCTGTGTCCAGCTGACCCTTCCGGATCGAAGAAACGAGTTCCCGAAAGCAGGACGGCGCGACAGTCGTCAGCTGCGGAGTTTTCGAAATAACCTGGGGCGCCGGGAGGTGCAGGTGGGCATGAGAGGTAGGTCAGCGTCCTGGTTCTGCGCAGTTGAGTCCAGCAGTGCTGTTTCTCGGGCGGGGGGCTTCGCGCAAGTGTTGGAGCCGGCGACCCTCCTGCAACCTGCCCCGGATCACCCGGAGTGCTCTTGAAAACGCAGATCTGCCCCACTTCCCCAGACCTGTGACTTAAAAGAGTTTCTGGAAGGGCACACAGCTGCCTCCTTCGGGGGGTGCCCAGGTGGTTCCGATGTCCCCAGAGATTGAAAAGCCCTGGTTGGCATCTTAAGGGGTCTGCTTTGTTTAACCCCGAACCACTTCCTCCATTTCTCGTTAATTTGAGCTCCAAAAGTGCTCTCAACATACAGGGAAGATTGTACTCGAGTTCAGCCTTGAGGGAGGTCTTTCGTCCAATCACATCGATATTGGTGGTGAGGTCATTTTTCATTTTTCTTTCCCCCACCCCGCCCCACGTCTTTTAGATGGATACCAGTTGGAAAGACAAGGAGCCCCCTGAAACCAAGGAGTCTGCTGTTAATAATTCTGGTATGTGGCGATCTGTCCTCTCCTGTTGAAATCGAAGGCTTAAGTATTTGTCTGGACCATGATGTTTAGTTCCTGCAATATGTTGTCCATTTCAGAAAATGCCTCCTTCATTTTGGGAACCGGGAAGCTTGTGACTCCCCAGAAGCTTGGACCTGAAGGGACTCCTAATCTTTGTACACCGAATGTGTTTAAGACACCTTTGAACTTTTCCACAGTAACTGTAGAGCAATTGGGAATTACACCTGAAAGCTTCCTTAACAACTCTTCAGGTAAGAGAAGTTGTGATTAAAAATAACTTTCGCATGTCTATACCGGCTGTCTTATGACTGTAGGTATGTGGACTGATTGTCTCTGCAAACTTACCTGTTCAGGGAGACTTCTGTGCACATGCACAACTCCTCTGGCCTGGCAGAGGTAACATGATGGTCTCTGGGCACCCAGCGGGATAGAGTTCCTAAGTTAGTTGTGTTTCATGCACATCGGGGAACAGAATGTGTGTGACACAAGAGGGTGTGTAATATGAATAGCCCCACATTTTACATTCACGTCTGCAAAAATTGGAGGAAACTAAAGAGCAATTAAGAAAATAAAACGTTGACAGATTGGGGTGTGCCTTGTTCAAAAATTACAGAAAGTGAATCTGCTAAAATTCACCTGTGAAATCTGACTTGGGAGAAGAAGTACAGGAGTGGGGTTAAATTAGAGAACAAATTTAGAAATGAAGGGTAATAGGGGAAGAGAGAAGCTAGTCACACCACAGTAAGATGAATGAGAGACAAGGCCAAAGTGACACCCGTTCTGTGTTCCTCACTCTTAGACTTACAAAAGCTGGGTTTATTGTGTGTGGTTAGACATACGGGCAAAATTCATGGTGGTATACTGTAGGTAAGTTAGGTATCTAAGAGAAAAATGATTTATCTTGGAGAATTAATAGCAGGTCAGTACAGTGGCCTCCCTACCCCCTTATCCATGGAGGACATGGTACTGTTTTTTTCCTATGCATACATACCTTTACTAGGTGTAATTTATAAATTGGACACAGTAGGAGAAAACAACTAGTAACAATATAGAGTAATTATAATATATTGTAGTAAAAGTTATATGAGTGCATGTTAGAATTTTCATTGCTGTGACAAATAACTGACACAGTTTAAGGGGAGCTTTCAGTCCAGTGTGGGCCTGTGGTAAGGCAGAAGAACATCATGGTGGCAAGAATATGTAGCAGAGCAAAGTTGCTCACCTTGTGGCATGGCAGCCAGGAAGCAGAGAGATTGAGAGTCAGGAAGGGACCAGGGACAAAGTGTATCTTTCTAGGGCATGTCCCCCAGTGACATTCCTCCAATGAGGCCCTACCTCTGAATAATGCCATCATATTACAAATCCATCAAGGGATTAACCCATTGATCGGTCTGAGCCCTCGGGTCTAATCCCCCTTACCCATCACGTTCTCACTAAATATTTTAGTGTACTTTTACTTTTTCACTGACAGGGAATATTGCAGCTTCTTTTTGGCATATCTGAATTGCCAGCATCACTACTCTTGAGCTTGGGACCATTATTAAGTGAAACAAGGTTCACTTGGACTGAAACACTGGCAGACCATGACAGTATCTGATAGCTCAGTAGCCACTAAGTGGCTTAAATAAGCAGGTAGCCTCTACAGTGTGGATTGTTGGACAAAAGGAAGATTCACATGCTGGCGAGATGGAGCTGGGTAGCACAAGATTTTATCACATTGCTCGTAAATAACATTCAATTAAAGACTTGTGAATTGTTTATTTCTGGAATTTCCAAATAAAATGTTCAGACTGTGGGTGACTGCAGGCATTTGAAACCATGGAAAGTAAAATCATAGATAAGGGAGGACTTTTTCCAGGTGCCTAGGTGGATGTCTCTTCAGTTCTCGTGGATAAGGCTAATCATATGAAAAGACATTCTTAGTCAAAAGCAAGCCATTTCCCACACCTTTTTGCAGGAAATATGGAACAAACATGAAAACTAACTAAAGTGGGTTCATGTGTTCAGTCATCTTTAATAAACGCCTTCATAGCTTCCCATATGTAGCGTGTTCTCTTTCAGGCTGGTACATCACCAGCACTGGTGTGATTGCTGATGGATGACTCCTTCTCTTATTCCAATTCATAAGAGAGTGTCCTTACAGGAAAGTCATCATCCTACCATAAAAAATTCAGACGACGTTCTGCAGTTGGTTCCCGGGGCTCTCCTGAAACAAACCATCTGATCCGTTTCATCGCCCAGCAGCGGAATTTGAAGAGTGCTGAGAGGTCTCCATTTGGGAGATCCTGTGGGTCCCCTTTCCAGGTACCATTTTCTCCCAAGTTCTCAAAGGATTCTGCCAGGAAATGCTTTGCTCTGGAGCCTGTGTGCAGGGCGCTGTGTTCTGGAAAATAAGCAGCTAGCGTAAGCAATGATGTTGAATCTGGCTGTGGTTAAGAATGAGGAAGTCTTGCATAGAAGTGGCTTCTGGAAGAGATTTTATTGTATTTTGAAGACTTTCTCTAGTTACTGTCTTTTTCTAGAATGAAATGAGGCACTTTTTTGCAACCTTTTTCTTTTAGTAGCTTTTCTCTGTTTCTAACATTTTCACGATAGCTGTGTGTTGGTGTGTAGAGGCAAGGGTTTCCCAGAACAAAATGCATTTTGTACAATCTCGTGGAAAGGAACAAATGGCTTTTCCATTATCATCATCATCATCAAAATCAGGGTTTCTAGCTTGCTAAGCAAGTGCTATACCACTTGAGCCACACCCTAGTCCTTTTGTTTTCAGTTTGTTTTTCCAACAGGGTCTCACACTTTCCCTCCTACCTTCACCTCTTCAGTAGCTGGGACCAAGGTGTGCACCACCATGCCTGGCTTGTTTTTGAGTTAAGGTCTTACTTTTCCCCAGGATCCTGCCTTAATGACTATCTTATGATGTATTTTGCTATTTTTTTTTCAATTTTTATCACAATAATACACATGCCCATAAAAGTCAAATAGTAGCTTAGGGTTCATTATAAAAGACCTATTCCCTTATGTTACCTTGCTTAGTGGACAACAATTTTTGGCATTACCTTCTTATTTTACAATAATTTACTTATATTGTCCCTTTATTTTTCAGTTATAGACGTGATCTATGCATGAGACTGTGATTCCTAAAGTTTTTCAGGCAGCCAAAAGCATCCATGGGGGTCCTTGAGTCCCTTTGAATAGATATATGAAGTCAAAACTAATTTTCAGTTTTAACAATATTATTTGCATTTCTTTTACCTTATTGATATTGCACTCATGATATAAAACCAACGGGGAGTAAATAAAACCAATGGTGAGTAAAATCACTGCGCCTCAGCATGAACCAAAGCAGGGTGTGAACCGTCATAGTACTGGTCGTTGCACTCACAGGAAGTAATGTCAGTTTCACTAGCTGTCCTTAAAGCACTAAAAATAATAAATTCCAACCTTTGCGTATTTTATGTGATGAAATGGGAGTACATGCAGAAGTTTGCTGGATGTTTCTAGAAACATCGTGTGTGTGAACTGTGGACTAAACAGAGCAACTGACCAACAAATCACGGTTAGTCAGACTCGGGAATGCGGCTGTTATTTTCTCATAAATGAACAGTGAGTAAATCAGCCACTTGAAATTTTGAAAATTTGCATTTTCAAGAGGAAATTAGAATTTTGGAAAATATGTGTCTACCTCTGTGAACTTGACAGCTTCCTGATAGTGGGAGACTTTCTGATTGATTACTGGCGATATTAAGGAAATAATATTTTGTTACTGCCTAATAAAATGTGCCAATATTTGGAAGATTTGCATAATCCAGTCAACCCAGTGTTTTCCAAGTGACCAGTGCATGGTGTTACAAAGCCTTGCCTAGGTAAACCATAACCTCACATTGCAAGATGGGTTTGAACACTAACAGAATATGAAAAGTTCATTGATAGGAATTCTTACTTGACATTGCAACTAACCTTTAAGAAATCTGTGTTGAGCTTTGTTTAGCAAATTAAAAAATAATATCCACAATTCTAAAAAGGCTGTTTAATGCTTCTGGTGCCATTAAATGCTAAGTCTGTTTCCTTGCCCTAAAATAGGATCATAATAGTTGTAAGGATTTCATGAGGACAAATAAATCAATAGATAGGATGTGCTTTCAGCAGTCCCTGGAGCACACGTTTTAGATTTGCTTTTGTTGGTGCTTCTATTAAAAGTGAGGATTTTGATCTCTGTCACATATCCTGCCCGTACCTGTCCTCACATTCTCCCCTTTCCCTATCCCTCCAAATCAGTTACATTTTGATATAAATTTTATGCATTATGTAATCTTGTAGATATTTTTTGTAAACTTCTGTGTAGTATGCTGTGATTATCATTGCTTTCTGCACTTTTGTTTTTATGGTAGTTGATACTACCTCTTTTTTTTTTTTTTTTTTTTTGTCTTATTATATCATCTCATCTGCAAACTTGACAGAACTGTAACCCTAAAGACTATCAGTTCTTTGCTTCTTGGAGCCCTCTTTCCTCTTCTTCCTCTCTGGCTCAGTGTCACCATGTGCTCACCCCCGTATCCATTTTGTGTCTTCTCTTATCCCTTACCCAATTCAGATTCCAGGCCCAGCAGTATAAAATTATCTTGCAAATATCTTAAGTTTAAAAAAATTACATAAATTGAAATATTAACACATGCACGTAAGTTTAAAGAATGCATTAATTCTATAGGGTTATTTATTTCTATAAGAGCAGTTTGTAGCTGCCTTCTCCCCCCCATCTCTCCTTTCCCAAGGTTCTTACTTTAATTGTTGAGGCTGACCTTGATGAAGTTTGCTTCTGCACATCTTGTAACATATTCTATTGCTTCTTACTCTTTTTTGCTAGGCATTAGCTATTGCCTTCCCCCAGGGGACAATGAAGAAGCACCTTCTTTCCTCCTAAGACCTTTTTGTGGCACACTTTCTTTTCTCTCTAACTTCCCAGTGGATCGGTTATGTCAGTATTCAAGTGTGCACAGTGTTGGTACCATGTCTATTATTCTGAGCTGAGTTTTCTTTGGTCACTTTCCCTTTCAGTGCCCTCTCAGAGCAAAACTGCCACAACCATTTGTCTGCTCTGGCTTGTTCCATTTCCCTCCCTGGCCATCCTTTCTGCTACTGCCACCCACCCCGGCTGGGCTTTTGTTTCTACCACTCTTGAGAAAAAATTCTTGTCACCCGTGGTCATAGGATGGCCTGAACAATAACAGCCCGAAAGATGAAGTTTGAGTTTTAACCTTGCTCAACTTTTCAGTGCCTTGGAAAGGACTTCACCTAGTTCATGGCATTCCACACTGACCAGTCTTCCTGTGTCACTGATCATTTCTTCTGTGTTTCATTTACCATTTCCTTCTCTTCTTCCAGTTTTTCCCTCAAAAATGCTGTTGTGCCTGGGGCTCTCTCTGCCCCTTCTCTTCACTTTGAACATCATGACTGAAATGTCTGTCTCCACCCAAAACTCCTAGGTACCAGGCGCCTACTCAGTGGCTCCTTTGCATATTCGGTAAGCATTTCAAGCACAACTTAGTCATAATCAAGCTAGATTTCCACTCCTGTGTAGATCCTCCAGTCCACTCAGACCGCGTCCGTTCTTGGCCTTTCTTGGTTTGTATTTTCCTTGTGTCTCACATTCAACTCATCACTACCTTTGACCTGCATTTCTCCATCTGATATCTTTAAAGAAGGTAATTTCTTGTTTTACTTTTGCCTCTTGGTGAGAATTTTTTAATTGCCACACAAGTTCCCTATCAGTGGAAATATGTTAGCAGTCCAAATAATAAGGGTGGGAGGGAAGCCCACCTGAAATGATCATCAATAATTTGTTGTTTATATGAGTAATCTGGCACCTCTATCCCTACTAGCATAAATTTCTTTTTATTAATCTTTGCCTGCAACCCTCTGAGCAGAGCTTCCAGAAAGCTGCTGGGCTTATACTATCTAACTTTTTATCTTATGTGAATGGCTGGCTTTTAGCTATAAGGAAGTAAGTGCCTAAAGTTAGCTAGGGAGAACCAGAGGTAATGTCCGAGCTAGTGTAGGACTTCTGTGTCTTGTTCTGGCTTCCCAGGATGGAGGTGGGGGGCAAATGTGCACAGCTTCGATTGAAGGAGGTATGCTGGGATTTACATGTGCCAGAGGTGTCACGCGTGGGCCTTCCAATGGATGCTTTGAGCACAACTTTTGATAAAATTTCCACATAGGCAGTTTCCTCCTGCCACTTCTTCCTTCCCCATCTCTGAGAGGCTAGTGTTTTCTTTGTGCCCCTGCTATATTCTCTTTGGCTTCTTCCACATTTTTGTGTTAAACTCCTTTCCCTTTCAGATCTTACTTGCTGAGGCTGCCCCAGGTAACGGATGCTAACATATGAAAGAAAGCTGGAAGTCTCGCAGAGTGCTCATTGGTTTACCCCCAAATAACTAGTATGCATTTTGTCTGGGTCCCTTTTGGAAGTATTTTCTACCTATTCCATGCTGCTTGTAGCATGTTCCCTTGGGGCTCATTGCTAGGATGAGCCCCATGGAACATGCTATACATCTTTGATAACTACTCAGCTATTCCTCTTTGCTCAGGTTTTGAAAGAAACTGTGGGAGAAGCAGAGGGGCAACTAAGATAATTACAAGGTACCAAATGTTCAGACAGGAAACATGTAATTCCAGGGAGAAGAGGCTCTGCTACACTAATTCATTACCTCTTATGTTCACACCTTTGTGTACTTTTTGTTTTGTATTCAGTGGTTATTGGCCTAGAATACAGAAACTGTCTTTGATTTATAATACCCTTTGTACTTTGGTACCTTAACAGGGCAGCCCTGGACTATATCGAAATGTTAATTTTTTAAGAGAGCGAATATCTGCTTTCCAGTCAGCTTTTCACCCCATAATGGAGAACGAGAAAATGGCTGACTGTTCAGAATTCTCAGAGGCAGAAGGAGGGTCCAAGACAACAGGCTTAAGTGAGTAGTGTTAACTCAGTGTTGACTTTTGTGTTTGTAAAGACAAACTTCTGAGATATGAAAAGGATTTAGTTCCACCGTGTAAAAGCAAGCAATCTTTTCAGGGCATAGTTGTGTCTTCTGGAGCCTAGCATTTAAAATTTGAGACATTTTCACACAAAAATCCATACTCCTGGCTTCTCTTTGCTGAAGATGGAACCCAGAGCCTTATAAATGCTAGACAAGCACCACCACTGAGCTACCCTCCCATCCTCTCTGGTTTCTCTTGAAAAACCTGACATCAGACAGACATTCCAGAGCCTTTATTTCCACATGAATTACAATTAAGTTTTCACAGTCAGAGCTACTTTGAGCTTTAGAGTAGGGCATGTGGCAAATTTGAGTTTACAAACCTTGGTTTTCACAGAATTATGTTAAGTTGGTAAACATTTATGTTCATATCACACACCCAACTCTGATATCAGCCACAAATATGCCCAATCTGATCCTTTAGTAGTCTGCCATGTTCTATGCTCTGTCTCTTAGACTGTAAATCACGTGGTCATTTTTCAGTCAGTTTTCAATTTCTCAGTCACAGAACACTTGAAACACCAGAACTGACAAAGTCTTGACCTTACTTGCAATCATTATAACCATCTCTCGTGCGCTTTGCCCCCTGAGGTTCCAGATGGTTCTGTTTTGATGTCTGAAACCATCTTCAGATGTGTTTCAATACATCCTGTTACCAACACATCCATCCATCTCCCTCCATAGCACATGACCAGTTCTGATGTTCTAATTTGTATTTGTTGTTTGTGACTTACCTATCATTTGAATTTTTACCTGAATTTTTAACTGGGTTTTAAGTTTTATTTTGTTTATGGCATTATTCATAAACATTCTTCAGTCACTAAATTCCTTTTGTCTTTTTTGTAACTAGAAATAACTGAAGCACACTCCAGTTGTATTTTTTCACAAAAATCATATCAAAACATTACAGTGTGAGAACATAACTACACCCTTTAAATGTTCAAAATAAAAGGCTTCGTGGTAAAATGTAGGAGTGTGACGCCATGTCAAGTGTAGCTGTATTTTGGTGTAAATATACATGTGAAGGTCTGAAAACCTTAGTCTAATAATTAAACTTGTCATTATCTTCATAGTTACGTTCTCTTGTCTTTTAGTTAATTTAATTTTTTGAGTGAGAAAGGGAAGCAGATCTTTTCATTGATGATTTAGATAACACTTAATTGGCTTAAAACTGTTCTAACATACAAAGTTTTTAAATTCCCATCTCATTTTGTGTATGCAGCCAAAAACGAAGGGCTCGGTGAGTATCAGCAGTCTGGGTTCCCTGCAAACCTGCAGTCCAAACGTCGGCGGATTTCGCGGAGCAGCTCTGAGGATGCCCTCAGCAATATGGGAGCAGAGGTGATGGATCTGCAGGTATTCACCACTGATGCGGACAGGACGTGTGCTGCTGGTGCTTCTACACACCTTCCAGAGGTGACTCACTACTTCACAGACGGGGAGATGAGTCTGGCTCCCTGCACCAGTGTCAAGGCCTTTCTTCCATCTCAGTACCTGTTCTGCCATATTGTTGTTGAGGTTTTAAGTTTCTGTGCATGTGCGTGTGTGAGTGTGTGTGCATGTGTGTGTGTGTGCGTGTGCGTGTTTCCTATGTGTTAAGTGCATTGTTGTTAGTTGGTTTACTAATTCATAGACAGTTTTGATAAGTAGGCTCTTTTGACTACTAATCTTACAGAAAAGACTGGAAAGATTAAGTCCTGGTTCTTGTGCATGAGTTTTCTTCCACGTGGTGATGGTTCACCAGTGAGTAAGTCTCAGTCATGCTTTTTGTCTCCTGGGGAAAGTGTGCATATGAACGGCCTATTTCAACATGAGCTGCAGCTCCCTGGTAATGAGTCAGGTGAACCATCTGTGCAGGGCACTCCTTGGGTCTAGGGGTCCTGCACTTCTGCTTGCTGGCCTGCCTTGTTTAAGATTGGCTAAGAGGCAGGGTGTACTCCTCCTTGCTCCCTGCTTCTTTCCTGTAGTGTTAAGAATCTTAGTGGCTTATTTAGGTAGTTACCTCAAACCTGTCAAGATTTTCAAAAACCAGTAACCAACATGAGTTTGACTAAACCAGGAGGAAAAATACAGCTACTGAAGATCTGCTGACCTTCAGGCAAGTATGCGTGGGAAGCCGGTCTCATGGCTGACTTCCTCCTGGTTTGGTACAAAAGATCCCATTTTCTTCTGGAGAGGAGGTGCCTAACCCCACTACAGATGGAACTTTTTCTGTGCTTCAGGTGTAACTCAGATCTAGGGCATGACTGGCTTAATACTTGATAATCACTAGACATTCCTCAGGTCCAGTAGGTTTCATTGTACTCCCGAGTCACCTAGGATCTCTGCTATACTCAAGTTAGTTTAGCATCATCATTTGACAGAAGCAGTAAGAATGGTTTCTTATCAGAACTCTGAGGCATTGAACGTACACCACAATGCAGAAACAGTCTTTTTTTATTTTGAGAAAGGATAGCAGATAACACAGCTTTCTAGGTTTCAATGGGCAACAAAAATGTGTGTTTTAAACTTTTCCTATGGGATCGAAAATTGTTTGGGATGCTTAGAATTTAGTCAGGATGAATACTCCATTGTTGGATTCCTGTAGACTTTAAGTTTGATGAATGGTGAATGGGACTGGTTGAATTCCAGATTTCCAAGTAAATCCTTAATGTTTGCTTCAATCTACATGAAATTGTCAATCGTAAAGGAAGTAATAAAATGCAATGCTTCTTTATTTATTTTTATTTCTTGGCTGTAGTAGGGTTTGACCTCAAGGCTCCATGACTGCTACAGGCACTCTACCACTTGAACCACACCCCTGGCCCTTTTTGCTTATTTTTCCTTAAGGTCTCAAGTTTTTGCCTGGGGCTTACATTGGACCGTGATCCACCTACTTGAGCCTCCCAGTAGCTGGGATCATAGGCATGTACTATTACCTCTGGCTTGTTGGTTGAGATGGGGTCTAGCCAACTTTTTGCCCAGGCTGGCCTCAAACTGGGATCCTCCCGATCTCTATTTCCCCAGTAGCTGGGATTATAGGTGTGCATCACCACTGCCATCCACTTCTTTACCTTTAAAATGTTTTCTCCCCAGAAATCATCAGAACTTGATTGTACCCAGTCTGACTGTGCAGTTGAAGAGTCTGTTTCCCTTCCAGAGATCAGAGAGCCTTTGAGTGGTAAGTGTGTACTTCTCCTTAGTACAAGTAGACTTTTGTGATTGGTCTACCTATATGCTAGATTTGGGGAGAAATAAAGAGTTCCCTACTTTTTTAGGAACTTTTGGCCCAGTAGAAATGTTATGGGATTTTCTGTGAGCAATGTTTTCTTTTTGAACAACTATCAAGAAGAATTAGTGAAGTGTTCCCAAGCTGAGGAATATCATATATAGCGTAGGACCAGCTGAGCATAGTGAAGCACAGCTGTAATCCCAGCACTCAGGAGTCTGAGGAAGGAGGATTGCAAATTTGAGACCATCCTAGAATACATAGCAAGACCCAACCTCAGAACTTCCCCCTCCCCACCCCCTACACAACAAAAAAGAGAGAGAAATAAAAACAAAGAGTAGGATCTACAAATATATGAACAGAATGTTATGTTTGAAAAACTTTTTTTTTTTTTTTTTTTTTTTTTTTGACATGATACAAAGGTTCTTTACCGTCTCCCAAAATCAGTGTGCTTGCATTGAGTGAATGTTACTGCAAGGTGTTACATTTGCTTTTATCCTGCCTGGGTTTTTATTTTTAAGTAAAACTTTGTAGACATGTATTTGGAACTTGGTTTTTTTATGCATTCTGGTAATTCCTGACCCTTTAATTGTACTATTTAGCCCTTTAAAGTTTCAAGGAATTACTGATAGGGTTGGTTCACATCTGCTATTTTATCATATGTTTTCTGATTTTTTTTGTTCCTCTCTTCCTTCCTTTTGGGTTTTGGGTTTTGGTTTTTTGAGTTCTGTTTAAATTCATCTAATATCTTTTAAAGTATACCTCATTGCATTTTTTTAATTGTTGCACTGGGATTCCAACATACTTCTCACAGTCTTCTTAGAGTTAGTATTTATTATACAGCTCATGTAAAACACAGTTTACAAGCCATGTAGCTCAAACCCAGCCCCTCCATGGCTCCTGTGATCCTTCGTGCTGTCGATGTCATAGGATGCATTTACTTCATTGTAACCCCTAGATAAGACCATTCTTGCTTTAAGCCATCAAATATATTTTAAATAAGTTAAGAAGGGAGAAACCGTTTTTTATATTTACCCAGCATATACCATTTCTGGTGCTCTTTACTCTTTCGGTCTGAAATTTCCTCTCTGCCTGAAAAAGAACTTCTTCAGCATTTTGAGATTGGCGTCTGCCCTCACTTAAAGCTTTGATCCTAAGATGGATGGATACCTGTCTGCATGGGTAAAGTACAGGGCCAGGCTGTCCGTTTGCACAATGATGATGTAAGACACTCCTGCCTTCTTACCAGTTCTCTTTGCTTCGGAGCAACACATTCTTGTAGAGTTATTATAGATTGTAGGAAGTGGTCACTGATAGTAGTCATTTGCCAGAGACCCACAATACAGTCTATCTGATGTGGTAACATAACAAGGACCAAAAGCCTTTTTGAGCACCCCACTAAGCCCTTCCCAGAAGCACTGTGGTAAGATAGGAAGAAGAGGGGTCACCATGGGTCATGGGGCCATGATTAATGGATCTAGTGCTGATACTTGTGTGTCAAACTGCTAGGTTATTTGGTGTCCCCCACTTTGTCATGTGGTTGTGTTTCAGATAGTGCATCTTCAGGAAGAATCAAATGGGATAGAAAAAGTCTTTGTTAAGGGGAAACTTGAAAATGAGACCTGCCATATACCTCCACTATCCCTTACGTCTCTCAGCACCACTGGACCTGCCCTGCCATTCCTCAGTCACTTTGTACTTTCTCACCTTCTCCTTGCCATCACACTTCTAACACTCCTCCTGCTTCTTTTCTTAGTTTCCTGTTTATAATTTATCTCTTATAAACAGAATTAAATTTTTAGTGTAAGTGTGCCTCGAGCAGTATTTTTCTTTTCTATTTAAAGTTCATGGATAGCTAGGTAGAGTTACCCACGTGCATTTGCAGGTGTGCAAGCTGCACGTGGGGCAGGTGAAGTGAGTGAGGTTTGATCACCTTTCTCCTCACCCAAGTCTCATTTCCACATCCTTGCATATGGAAATGAGCAAAGCTGCTCAGTAGTCGGTGCATGGCTCAGGTTAGTTTTATGGTGCAGGTAAGTCTGGCAGTGTGGCTCATTCTTGATACTTTCTCTGAGCCTCTGACCCAGGTTTCCATGGGAGCCAAAACCTACTACCTTTACCTGTAGTAGTCAGATTTGCATTAAAAACTGACCAGTGCCACTTCTCTGTAATCTTTTTTTATTTCCAAATAAAGTCCCATCCCACCCAGGATGTACTAGGGTTGTTTGTTTGGTTGGTTTTTTGGGTTTTTTTTTTTTTTTTTTTTTTTAATTTGGTGATGCAAAGGATTGAACCCAGTGCCTTGTGTAAGCGAGGCAAATGTTCTACCATCCTGTATCCCCAGCCTTAGTATTTTGACAGAGGTTTTTGCCCTGTAGCTCAGGCTGGTCTTAAACTTGATCCTCTTGCCTCGGGCTCCCACATTTGGGGTGAGAGGAGTGTACCACCATATCGGAGGCCTCATGCTTGCTAGGCAGATGCTCTGCCACTCAAGCCACACCTCCAGATCTTTTTGCTTTATGTTATTTTTTCTGTACTTTTTACATGAGGCTGGCCTTGGGTTACAATCCTCCCTACCTAGGCCCCTGCATAACTGAGATCATAGGTGCATAGGTGGATCATGGGATCTTGCTATTTTTGCTCAGGGTACCATCAAACCAGAATCGTCCCAATCTCTCACTGGCATTGGAGGTGTGAGCCACCACGGCCCACTGAATTTCTTAGTATCATTATTATCTTTGCAAATGTATCAAGTATCCTTGGATATCTTTGGATTTGGATGTCTTCCACCCCTCATGTTCCTTTGCTTATCTTGAAGGAATTGAGGCCGCTGACTGTGTAGAGGGTACAGGATCAGTTGAAGACATTCCACTTGACATACTGACAGCAGAAGTGAGTTCAGACACCAACACCGTCCCCAACAAAAGGTCGCCAGTTACTCCTGTGTGCAGGAAGAACATTCTACTCCCTGAGACTGTTGTTCTCCGTTCTGTATTGAAGAAACCCTCTGCGAAGCTGTTTCCAGAGAGATCACAGGTAAGAAGAGTTAACAGTTCCTAAAGCAAATTACTACAAATCTGTTTTGCTTCAAAGCCATTTCTCTGAAATGTCTATCATACAGAAGTGATCTTCTATATTACCCTAATCATCTTTTTCCTCTCCTTTTCTCAAAGTATGGCAGATAGTATAAAGAATTTAATGTAAGTAGACTAATTTATTAAAAAGTTCATCATTTAGTTATATCAGTTTTAATAAAATAGTATTTCATTACTTAATTATATGGCAATATCAGTTAGTTCATCATGGCTAATGTGCTGTTCTGTTGCCTAGCCATCCAAAATACGCAGGCTTAAAAATATCTCTGACAGCCAGGCGCTTTCTCTTTAAGTTCAGTCCTTACGAGAAAAGAGGGGGCTGATGGGAACTCTGGGTTTATGGAGTGATGTCTATTGATAGTCTACCGCGTATGTTGCAGTGGTACTTCAAGAACGACTTCGGCCCCTTTTGACCTACGCATGGGTTAGGGATGTCTGGCAACCCAGATCAGTCTGTTGATCAGGCTATGTTGGGGAGGCTCGGAGGTCAGAGTGCTGGTTTTGAGTCCTGACTCAGAAACTTAATAGCTGGGCACATTAACGTTTTTGTGCCCCAGTTTTCTTATCTGTAAAAGAATAATAGTAACTGCCTGGTACTTTGAGTAGTAAATAGGATAACATGAAATTAGCACTGGTGCCCGTTTATCAGAAATCTTTCCTTCAAATCTTAAGCATCTTTATAACTGAGAAGCTTTTTACTAAGTTGGCCAAAGTTGGTTGGCTTATAAAAGTCTAGTTATTTGCTAACTTTTGTGGTTAATGAAAAATAAGTTAAAAAAGAACCGTGGAGTTTGTTGCATAACTTGTTTCAGAATGTTGGTGTGTGTGCTTTCCCGGTCAGGAAAAGGAACTGGCTTGGAAGCTAGCCATCGTTAAGGAGGTTTGTTTGTGGCAGGACTGTTTGTAGAGCAGGTTTTGTTGTTGGGGTGGGTGTAGTGGAGAAAATGTGGAGCTCATGGGAATGAGGACTGGGCAGGGTTTTGGTTATGGCTGGACAAGTGTGTGGTGATTAAGAGGGGACTCTGATCCAGCCTGCAGGCCTGACTCTCCTCTGCTGGCCTTGCTCTGTCTTTTTTACAGGGTTTACAATATCCCTTCCTTTCTAACTGACCTCTCTGTAATCTTCATCTTGATAAACACACAGGCTTAAAAGTTGCTGTCTTTTTTCTCAAAATATGATAACATTGACAGGAAACTTGAAATACTTGTAAAAGGCACAGTTCATGTTTAAAAGGCAAAATACCCTATTATATCATTTACCTATTTGGTTTTTTTCTTGTTTTAGTGTAATTCTTATGCCTCAGACCATTTATGAAGTCTACCTCATCTGACACCAACTATGGTACATTATAATTGTAACCACTTACATGTTCCTCAATTTCATTTGCCAAATAAAAAATGAAAGATTTTAACCCACAAAAAGAGATTTCTGTTCTTTAATTTGGGTCTAAAATACTATTTACTAAAATAATATTTTCTTTCTGGCTGATACCATTGTGTTTTATACCAAAGGGAAAATTTTTAGAAATTGCCATTCTTACTGACTGTGTGTTTATGATGAGTGAACTTGTTCATTGGTGTTTGTTTTCTTTAGGAACACCACGACAACCTCTGTGATGATGGAACTCAACCAAGCCTAATCTCAGCTCTTTCAAACTGTTGCAAAGAACAAAAAGCAGGTATCTTATTCTTATTTACTTATTTGCTTTTGGTTTTTTTGAGACAGGGTCTTGCTTATGTAACCCAGGCTGCCCTCAAACTCAAGATCCTCCTGCTGCAGCCTTCCAACTGCTGGGATTACAGGGGTGTACCACCACACCTGGCTCATGTTTATTTTTAAGCCTAAGAATATCATTTACTGGTTAATAAAACCTGATATGATATGTCAGCTTTTCAGTGATCTTTAATGTTTCGATATTTCTGAAACTACATGGGAATGAAGAGCAGTTGGAGGGATAGAAGCTCTTTGGAGAGCCTCAAAATTGGTCTAGTGGGCATTGTAGCTCTGGTAGAGTGCCTGCTAGCATGTATGGTTCCACTGGGGAAAAAAAAAAAAAAACGAAACTGGTCTCTTTTGCCCATCCATTTTTGCTTAATGGTGGAACTTGTAAAATAAAAATTTTGAGTTTTGAAAATAGTTATGCAAGATTTTACTTTAAAATCCATGCCATGGTTTAGTTGAAAATTTGTTTCCCTTCTTTTTTTGAAGCTGCTCTACAAACTTTTTTTTATACAAATAATAGCTGAGTGTATCATCTTAAAATATTCTAGTATATGCCTTTTAGATAGGAAGTATCTTAATTTTTTAACGTGTTTGCATTTAGAACCTGTAGAAGATCAGGAAAGCTGTAAAGCTCTGGCCTTGCAAAACGTGCGGAAGAGGAAGAGAGTTACTTTTGGAGAGGACCTAAGCCCTGAAGTGTTTGATGAGTCTTTGCCAGCAAATACTCCATTGCGGAAAGGAGGAACCCCTGTCCGCCAAAGGGATTTAAGTAGTGTCAGCCCCTTGCTACTTGAGCAGTCGCCAGTTCCCGAGCAGTTACTTCAACCAAATTTTGATGACAAGGGGGAGAATCTTGTAAGTTTGAAGAACATGAATAGAAATGCTTCTATTTCATCAGGTCTCACCTGTTTTGCATGAACGATAATTTTATTACTTGGCATTTTTGTCTCTGTAACAAAATGCCCGACAGAAATGACTTAAAGAGAAAAGATTTATTTTTGTTCATGGTTTCAGAGGTTTCAGAGCATGGTTCCTTGGCTCCATGCAGTTGGGCAGAACATCATGGCAGCCAGAAAAGCAGAGGAAGAGGGAGATGGAAGGAGAGAGAGACAGCTTCTGAATCAGTCAAGTTGACAACCAAGATTAGCCACCACAATAATTATGCTTTGAAATTATGAGATGGACTAAATGATATATACCATGTTTTAAATTGAAATATTTCCTAGTTAGGTTTTTCCTTTCAGTTTTTCCCTCTTACAAATAATATTTCCATGATGTACTGCACTTTGCATGGTTCGTGGACCCTAAGTGTTATTCATCATAAGACATACCATTGTCCATTGCTTTATGTATCACTTAGAAAAAGTGTTGGAAATTAAGTAGACCGTGAGCTGTAAAATGAAGGTGGGTGTCACAGGCATTAGAATGTGAAGAAGCAACCATCTAAGAATTGAAATAGTTACAAGTTTCTGTATTTTTCTAAGATGGAAAAAAAATGTGCTTTAAAAAAATACTGTAAAACTTTATTCAGACTAGTCAAAAAGGACAGAAAAATTACCAGTGTATCAGCAAAGAGGTGACACAGCTGTCTATCCTGATATGTGAAAGGGCAATAAGGAAATCTTAGCATCAACTTTATCTAATAAATGTAACAATTTAGATTAACCACATGCATTCCTTAACAGAGATATACTACCAAAACTCACTCGAGAAGAGATGAATTACTTCAATAGCTCTGTATTATGGATACTTAAATTGTTGCTAAAATCTTCCTACAAAGCAAATGCCAGATAATGTCACTGACAAATTTCATCAAATATTTAAGCAAGTTATAATACTAATTCTGGATACACTCTTCCAAAAATTGGAAAGGTGGAATATTTCAAAGTTCACTGATGCTAACATCAGACAAGCATTACAACAAAAGGACAGTCTAGTATCCTTGTGAACATTGCAATCAATATATGAGAAAAAAAAGTAATTTGCATGTTAACTAGCAGACTAAAATACAGAAACCATATGATCGTCACACAATGCTAAAGTAGCAACTGGCAAAATCCACTATCTGATTCTGGTTAAAAAGAAATCTGAGCAAAGTGGTGACCAAAGGGAATTTCTTGATGCTGACAGAAATTGGTCTATCTACGAGAGACCATCACTCCGTCTTGCGGCGTTGTGAAGAGAGATTTGCTGTCTGTTTACAGTGCCATTTCCCCAAAGTTCCCTGAACAGTGTTGAAATGTCAGGCTGTGTTTCTTAATGGCTTTCTTACTGGCTTTGTAGGAGTTAGGACGTGGGATTTTTGTATAAACTAGAAAGTGACTTATCATTGGATCATTATGGCTTCTTTGACGTTTTAATAAGAGCTCTTTATTTTGGTGGGTTGCAGTTACTAAATATGCTTTCATGGTGAAGATAGCCAGGATTGTAAAGTTATCTGTGTTTTCCTCAGACTTCTTTTTAACCTTTTGCTGATTTCTCATCTTTTTTCTTGGTTTTGAGAGACATAATCCCACTGTGTAGCCCAGGCCGGCCTGGAAATCTCGATTCTCCCGTTCCCCCTCCTGAGTGCTGGCATCGTACCCAGCTTACTGTCTCTTCTCTATGCTTATCATTCTTCTGCCAAAATAAGTCCTTAGCATTTTCATTTGGGGCATATTATTTACATCGTCACTGAATTTTCTAATTTCTACTGCTCTTTTGCTTTCTGTAGGAAAACATAGAGCCACTTGACGTATCATTTGCAGTTTTGAGTCCTAATAAGGCATCGATGTCTGAGACTCTTTCAGGTATAACTTGTCTATCGAATAATCATAAATGTCATTTTCAGTATGTGAAACTTACTTCCTTTATTGTCTTCTGAAACTACACAGCACTATACTGTGTAGTTTTGAAAAGCTTGTAAGAAATTGCTTATGTATCCCTTTGATTTTTTTAATTAATCACCTACATTTTACTTCCAAAGATTGGATGTCCCCTTTTTCACATTGCTGTAAGCAGTGTTGTTGGATTCTCAGTTCTTCAGTGTTAATAAGCAATGTTCAGCTTGTACAACTGAAATGATTTGAATCATAAGGGTCATTCTTAACTGTCCAGGGGGTTGGAGATTTAGCTCAGTGGAAGAGCGCTTGCCTGGCAAGTGTAAGGCCCTGAGTTCGGTCCCCAGCACCGGAAAAAAAAAAAAAAAAAAAAAAAAAAAAAACAAAA